TATTTTGCTAATTACGGAATTTAGTTTAGGTAGACTTGGCTTTTCCAGTGTTTTCGTAGTTCATACTTTAAAGTTAGTCGAATTTTAAAGCACTTATTTTATGATTTTTGGTTGAGATTGTAGATGCTGATTGTGTAGAGATTGTTGCTTTACTGCATCAGTATGAATATTTCAGTTGATTTCATTTTAAATTATTTTAAGTTTTTTCTTCAATCCAATAAAAAATTTTATATTTAATCATTAAATAAGAACGTAAATGCTTCATATGGCTTTTAATATCTTCTGCAAAGCTTTACAAACTCCTTAAAAAAAATAATAAAAAGTTGCGATTTTAATTTTTCGTTTGAAATGCTGCCAAAAAATAAGCGCCTCCTAGCGGCACTTTTTATAAACTGAAATTTCCCTTCAAATGTCCTCTGGTGAAAAGGATTTCCTTTTTTCAACAAATACGAGATCCATGACACGAACCGCCATTTAGACACTAACCATAATATCAACTTGCAAAAGCTAACAGTTTTTCGACATATGTACATTCACTTCAAAAGCTAATTGCTATCAAAACGCAATTCCAAAAATTTGAAATAAAAAATAAAATAAAAATGAATTTCTTATCTAAGTTTATTAAATGAGTTCTCAATTTTTGTTAAAAAAAAAAATATTTCTGAATTAGTTGTACCCACACAGTGTCCATCATAGTATAACATTTTCGAAGTTTTCTTTACCTGCCAAATGCCCCAATCAACTGGTAATTTGTTACCCAAACTGCAGTACAACCAAATCACCACTAATCTCTCCAATTTGTTGAAAAGCCCCCTTGAAGGTTGTCACGAGGACATGGTCACTGGATTGACAGGAGCGTGAAAGGACATTCTACGGTTTAATTACAATTGGCATAATAATGAGGCTTGACACCTTCACCTGGGCGCCATTTAAGTTGTCAGCTGTGGAATGTTTCCTGTGTTTAACCAACAAACTTTAAGTTTACTACAAAAAAAAAAACAAGGAAAACGCTTCGTTAAGGCCACTAACTGGATGATTTAAGTCGGTGGTTTTGCGGTTAAGCTACAAGTGCTTTAATTCAGTTTTAAAATTACAAACCAGCAGCATGTGTATATGTGCTGCTTTGGCTTTGACACGACATTCGACTTGGAGAACCACAATTGAATTATGAAGTTTATAGCATGCAAAAAAAAAAAAACCCAGCACGAATGCATTTTTAACAGGCAGCGCACCCATTCGCCCACTTTGTGCTGGATTCCTTTGTGCATTTCTAAGCGAAAAAGCAAAACGAAGCTAAAACATTTGTGCCAGCAATAGCGATGCGGAGTGGTTTTTGCTTTGGCAAAATGATTCCCAGCTGTTCTGATGAAAGGATGCAGCCAAAAAACTGGGATGCCAGGAGTAAGAAATAAAATCAAAATACTTCGTTAGTTAGCTCAGCGAAACGTGGTCTTTAATTAATGGCTTTAAGACCTTCCCTAATCAATGTACTTCAATGATTAGCTATCGCTATCATTTTATTGCGCATACGCCACGTGTGCCGTTTAAGTACTTTCGGATGTCTTCCCCGTTGTACATCTTAAATTTGTGCCTGTTCCTTAGAAATTTAAGGACAAACTCCTTGAAAAAAGCAGAGCTTCTGATAATAAAGCGACGAAACAAATCGACTCGAGGTCAGCGCTCGATTTCCATTCTAATTTTGAAGACACTCAACAGCAATTGCTGCCGTCTGAGACGGATTTTGGCCGTGCTTATTTGTACAATAGCCTCGGCGATTGTCTTAAAGACCGCAGTTGGCAGGGGACATACAAAAGCCGCAGACTTACCCTCCACTCACCCCACTAGATGCTATCATTCCGCCCGACCACGTTATTCAATTATGCAAAAGGCAGCCACGCACTGCGTACGGCAACATGGAAATTATGTTTTTAATTTTTTGGGTCCCACAAAGACAATGAAAAAAGGGGAAGGTGGCAGTGACTAAAAACAACATTGCGAGTCCCAAACACAAATTCACCGACCACGAAACGCATCAAACAACATTAAAAAGTCAGGACTGTGCTGCAAAAGCCAACACACCCAACGCATATACTCTCTTACGAACGCTGAGGGTCGAACAGTGGGGTAAATTGAAGAGGTATTTCAATATTAGTTATACAATTTAAAAATATTTAAAATAAGAGATTCCCAAAAACCATACAGCAGAAAATCTATATTAGTTTAACATTTTGTTAAAATCCTTTTCAAATTAAAACCAACTTTCAACTCAAGTTCGGAAAAGGCTTCAATGGCTTAGTGTAAAGCTAGTAAAAACCACAAAAAAGCTTCTGTGTCCCCATAAAACGTAATATAATTCCTATAAAGCTATTAATTCTCTATAAAAGGTTATTCTGCACTATTCCTTTGACCTACTCCACTGTGGAATACTGTTGGCCATCTAACCAGCATCAGCTGGCTAGTAAGTGCCCAGGACATTGGCCAGGACAACGATAAAGAGAGAAGCCTGAGTGGGGACCAAGTCCGGGGCTGTGGCACATAATCAAGAGGGTTTTTGTGAGTGTGTGTGTGTGTGAGGGTGTGTAGACCACGGATCCGGAGAACCAGCAGCGGGCAACGCACTAAATCGGATTACCCCAGAATTATCCTTGTTGGCATTTATTTTGGCTTTGACGCACACAGACCCACATACACGAATAAATACACAGTGGGAGCCAGGAACCGCTGGCAATGGCAACTTGTTTGCTGGCCACTCAACTCCATTCCGCTTTTGGTAGCCCCCAAAACCCCCCACCACCCCTCAAAAAAAACACACACATCAAAAGGAAGCATACACACAAACAAACAAGCAAGCAAACAAAAAACAAATGAGAGAAAATAAAAATAATGTCAACTTCCGTTCTGCTTAGCCAACTTTTGACGCCATACTCTCCCGTTGTTTTAACTTCTCGCTGCTGTTTTCCTTGTTTTTCTTCTTTGTTTACTTTGAATTGCAAATTTTATTTTGTTGTTTGGCTGTTTCACTTTTTATTCTCGCTTCATTGCGGAGCATAATGAGCCGCGAGTTGCTGCCGCAGCCACGGCATGCGTGCCTCATTGTCATTTAGCAGTTTACACGCAGGAAAATGTAGTGACAGCTAATGGGTAACAAAAATAATTCGAGCTAAAGTAGATGCTCCTCTTCTCCTTTTAGTTTCTTGCAAGCTAATTTAAGGCTAAGCCTTATATTAATAAATACAAGTCAGAAACGGATTCACATATAAAGAAAATCAGATTAAAAGAAAACCAAATCGGAAAGGATTTCAAATATTGACCCATTCAAAATTGTAAGAAAATTTACACCTGCAAATTTAAAAATGTAAGTAGTTTAATCTTAATGTAATTTTCCCCCAAAGTCTTCCTAATTACAATCCCACTTTTTCCCACTGCACCTGATGGAGTACGCACTTAAACGTGCCAAGGAGTACATTGGTTAACCAGAAGGCCCATGGCGCACGGGCGCCACGTAAATCTATTAACACCTCTCGCCTGACTGAAGGATAAGCCCGCCCCATACAGAGCGGCAAAATCGGGCCAAAACCACAGTCAATGCCATCGAGCAAGGTGTCCAAGTGCGTGCGTGTGTGTGCGGTAAATGAAGCATTTTGGCCAAAACGGCACGTACTAGCAAAAGGCTTCAGCCGCAGTACCCTGGGATCCCCGGAGTTTGCCACATCAAAAGGCAATCGCTGCCGTAACTTTTCCCAACTAATTTACATAGAGTTCTCGTCGCTGAACCTACGTGACCATGCAATTTGCATTGGGTTGGTGTCGACCCAACTGCAACTTCCAGGCCAAGTCCTTCTCGCTAACCCAAGGATAAGCTTGAGCTTTTTCCTGTCAAACTGTGCGTTTAGAATAAACACGGGTCTTACGATGCTGCCACTTTGCCACTTGGCACCAGGCTAAGATTGATTAAGACGTATCTATTGTCGAACACGTTGGCTTGTCCTCAATGTCTTGGCACGTAGAAGGGTCGTTTACGCTACAGCGTTTTATACACCAGGTTAAAGGGTGTATAAAGGAGTTTACACTAGGTTGGGATGGAAAACATGTTTAAATTTTAAGTTTGTTCTGGAAATATTAAATAGTTTTTAGAGTCTAAGAATGGATTTTCTTCTGTTTCTGCGTCGCAAACTTAAAAGTAATCTTGATACACTTTTAAGTTTAAGATATTAACTGTTATAAGATTTTATAAAAGCTAAAAATAAATATAAGGGATGTTAATAACAATATAGACTCCCTAAACAGCATAAGAGATGTCTGTTCATCCCCCTTTTGAAATTCGTGAGGTAGCAACCCTTCGAGGATTCAATCGGTAGTAATCTTCCATCTTAATGTTTGCTTACATATACATCCCTCCTCGGCTGTTCGTGATAAAATCACATCTATAAACATTAATCGCTCTTTTATGAAGTGTAATAAATTTCAGAGTTACACATTTGGCCGCAGTTTAACGCTCTTGGGCCGTTTTTCAAGGCTTTAAGCTTTGAAGAACACGAAATAGTTAACCCAAGACTTGACTTTAGTTTCTCTAAAAATAGCTTTATTCATATTTGATTGGTACCCAGTTTTTGGTAATTAGTTTCGGTATTTGTGTTTTAGTTTCTTGTTGCTAGTGTGTGAGTTTTTGAGTTACTACTCAGTGGCATTTAGTTTTGAACAACATGAACAAACATTTAATAAATACATTCAGATAATTCTTATATGAATATCATATAACAATCACGGCTTGTCGATGGAATACCTAATTAAACGATCTAAGCAATATACATTCATATACAGGTAAATAATTATTAATATTATAAACATACTATTTTAGAGCTATCATCGCTAGAGACGTGTAAATTTGTTTGGTGTTTGATTTATGCCTAGAATCGAATAAGTAAATCAAAATTAGTAAATAAACTGTTTGTTCTACATTTCGATATTCATGAGAGCATTAATTCTGTACTATATACTATATATATATTTTTTTTTGGGTTCCAAGTATGTACAATTATATGCCAGCTACTTGAACCATTGTGTTTCGGACATTCTAACAGAGTTTTTACATTTTCATTGTCCTTTCAGCGTCATTTCAACAATTGTTAAGAGCCCAAGCATAGTTGATCAGCACTTACTTGTTTGCACAACAAATTGATTTACAATGTTAAACAAATTCTGCTCACTTCCTGCCATTTCGATTGGCAAACAAAAAAAAAAAAGAAGTTCTTCAATTAATTGCCATTAAATATGCGCCACATACCGCCAAAGAATGTGCTCTCCCAATGAAAAATGCATTCGATTGAAAAGTTGTTTTTACATTTCCACACAGCCAACTTATGAATTTTCCATATGCTGAGCTGTGGCCATTTGAAAGCATATTTTAATTTGTAAAAATTAAAATTGTGCAGTTTTAATGCGATTTCAATGGAACCGAAAACACAATAAGCACATAATTATTCATTTTGGCTGTGCAATAAATTCATTTGCCAACAAAAGCTTCATTTTACATGCATTATTCGACCTTTAGGGCCAAAAACAAAGAGGCAGTAAAAATGCTATCTTTAATAATTTAATTGTTGCATTTTTGGTCTCTTCTTTATTATTTTAAATCAAAATTATTTATTACTTTTTAATTAGTTTGATAAACTGTGATTAGAAACAACTCTTTGCTGAAATGAATATTTATTGGTTTCTTAAATATTTACTGATTCTCTGTTGCCTCTCACCCTCTCTTATATCTCTTTTATCATCATTTGAGAATGGGATATTGATTTGTTGTTAAGTCCTGTTTTTTAAACAGATTTATTTAGTTAATTTGTATGTTTTATTGGTCACATGTTGCTTGCTTGTTGATCGATTATTTGTTCTGATTTTAGGTACTGTGCAGAGTTCACTTTGAAAACCGTGAAATGAACAAACGGAAACCTAGACCCATCTCAATTACACTTCTATATGGTTAGTTTTATATATATATATATATACTTATCTTGAGTAACATGTTTGTTATTGCTTTTGTTTAGCACTTGCCTGGCCAGGCCTTTAACTTAATTACGAAGGCTACATCGTTTTGAACTACCACTAAACTGCCATTTGCTCCCAGCACCCGTCGATCCCTTTTTTGGCCCAGCCTCTCTCTAATCTTAATGTTAACTCAGGGTTTATACCATTTTTGGATAATGAATATATGTATGTGTGTGTGTGTTTTTGCTTGGGTCTATACAGTGACTACATTTTAATGGCCTAAAAAGTCTTAACTGGCTCCATTCCATTAGTTAAACGTCTCTATATCGGTGTATATATAGTAGATATATCCATAACCGTAATGTGTGATTGGTTTTACATTAATATTGTATATGCAGCATAATTAACTTTGATTATACACATGCCTCTCTGAGGAGTAGAACATCGCCATCCTTTGATTATGTTACAATGCTAATTAAGTGTTCTGCTCCTCGGCTTAGGTTCTAGAATTTCCTCTACGCAGGGTATGCAGGCTCATCTTAGGCGCTAGTAATTGATATAAGTAGTGGTTGAGTGCGGTGACCTTTTTTTTGAGGGGGGAGAATGGGACTTAGCTCATCTCGGACTACACACTATCCCCCTGCTCTCAAAGATAGTTTGGCCTGGAGACGCAGCACAGCAGGCTCATGTTCTTGCATATGTAGTTCTGGCGCCTTTTTGCCTGCCAAGGTCCGGTTGTGTCCAGGGCCGCGTTGCGTTCTGCAAACACCACATGAAAGAGCAAACAATCGTCTTGATTAATTAATGAGTCAGGAAAGAAATAAATGTATGTATGGGTAGCACTCAGAAAAATACTTTTCTACTTTTAAAATTCACTATTTGTAACGTTTTTACTTTTATCTTTAAGATTTTACGTAAAAATAAAGAATGTACGGCAAGTTCAATCAAATATTGGGTGTAAAATTTTTTAGAACTAATAATAATAATAATAAATTAAAAAAATATCATGTTCATCAAAAAATAAATCTTCATCATAACTCAACTAGCTTATGAATTTATTTTCGCTAAAAATAATCTTTATTAAATTAATAAATACAATATTTAACACCAAATTGATTTAAAAAGTAAATTGCCCTTTTAATAAATACTTTATACGTTTTACATAAAAAAGCTATAAAACCTCCCGCAGCTATAGACCTTAATAGCCTGTCCACTTTTTTGTGCTCAGCTTTGCCCTTTTTTGTATGCTATAGAATTTTGTTTGGTCGACAGGCCTTGGCCAAATACCAAAGTGCATGGCAATGGAATTGCAGGCGAGTCACGCGGGAGCCTGCGCAGTTTCAACACTCACCCAAGTACGCCTCGTGCTGCGGCATGTACTCCTGCATCTCGGATAGGAGCACGGCTATGTCCTGGGAGTCTTTGGTGATGCTGCATAATTCCTCCTCGTTGAAGTCGGGCGTAAACTGTTTGCACAACAATATCTGGCTGATGACATTGCCCAGATTCGAAGGCCCAGCTCGGTTTTCTGCAAAGAATGGAAAAAGCCATGGGATAAATCAGAGTCAAGTGATAAGCCGCCACTAAGCTAAGGTGCAGCGCAGGGTCAAGCTCTTTGGGCCCAACATTTCCCCAGCCCAGGCAGTATAAAAATAAACCATTTTGTTTGACCTGGCCACAGCCATAGGAAGCCGCATTTATTTGTTTTATTCATTTTTATGCAAACATTTTCCTTTGACTTTTCCATTCCCCGCTTTTTATTTATTTCCGTTCTTTTGCCGCTTCATTAGCTTTTCGCTTTTTATTTGTGACGAGCTTTGATGTCTGTCTCTCTGCTTGTTTGTTCGCGGGCCAAGCTTTGTGATTTAACATTGGCTAATTTAATGATCAGAAATCTAAAAATATGCACATCAAATTTTATTACAAGTTTGTCAATTACTCGTCTCACTTTTCCTCAATCAAGACTAAAAGTTTGAATATTTCTTTATTAATGTCGTTTTATTTCCCTTATTGCTTGACCCTTGATTGATTGATGCTGCAATCAATATTCGATCGCCCATCAATCTTCATCAAGCAGAGTCAAATTAATTACTTAGTGAAACTGGCTGAGCTGCATGCCTCGATGCACTGCAATCTATTCGATCGTCCAATGTGGCGTATGCGCAATATTCATATTTCATCGCGTATGCGAGCATGCATGACCAGCATTCAACGCGCGGCATTTTTATAAAGGGTATATGCTGGGTTAGAAGGGTATATATTTTATTTTTATACCATTAATAGATATATATGTTGTAAAATTTCTAGAGTTAAGTTTTAATATTTAAATTTTAAAATGGGCCACCTTTTACATTTTCTTTACTTTCTAACTTTTTCAATTTCCCATCTAAAAGGTAATTCCTTGTCCTATCACCAACCAAAGTTATTCTTCTGATTTCAACCCAGCAAGGCAATGAATTTCCGCTAGCATGGCAATAATTAAAGGTCCACATAAAACCGCCATCCCATCGTCACATACTATCTCACTGCCCGTTCAATTTTGCGTATATTTTGGTTTGCAATTATAACAGCCAAACACCAAACTCAAACAAAAAAAAAGCATTTTCAATTTTTGAATTTTTTATTGCTTATTCTGCGTTGATGGCATTTTCATGGCACTGCAGATATTTGTTGGTTCCCATGGCTGGGCGCGGGTGCGTTGAAAATTCGCTGGATCCAAAAAGGCCCAAAGCCAGAAACTCTGTAAATATTTACTTTCCCATTCCAACACAATTTTCCCCGGCCATGTTGACAGTGAGAAACCAGTGCCAACGCAGTGGTTGTAATTTAAAAATTTATGATCAGCAATTGGCATTTGGCATTTGCGTTCCCATTTGTATTCTTCGGCATTTTCCCATGGTCACCCTGGCGACAAATCAGTTCGAAGTTTGGCTCTGCATATTTTTGCGCTCGCACGTGCACATTAAACATGGCTAAAGAATGGCAATCACTGCCAGGACACTACCACACACACACAAACATACAGAATCGCAACTGCAGTTTCTGTGAGTATGCCAAACAATTGTTGAACGTGCAACGAGTGTCTGGTCCTGAGTGAGGGAATGCTGCCCTGAATGGCAATGTCAAAGAAACGGCACCCTCGTTAAGGCCAACTGGGAATTCAAGGAAATATTTGTGCAATATAAGAATATTAAAGTTACGACAGGTTCGAATAACTGTTCAATTTCGACGTCATTTATCATGGTTGTTGTTGTGGGAAGAAGGTACATTAGGAGATCAAGTTTGTGGGCCTGCAGGCATTGGATTAACTCCATTTAGAATAATATTAAAGCTTTATGCATTGACACATATTTTAAACTTAAACCAATTTCGATCTGCCAAAGTCCTTCTGTGACTTTGACTTTTGCTGGCAACAGCAAATTATCAATAACCCCCAATCGGAAAGTCAACAGCTGACAAACATGGTACCAGTTGGCCAGAGATAGTGCGTTGGTGTTGCATTAAACTTACCATAATAGCCGGACATATCCATTGGCACGACTTGTATGAGACGATAACTTTTCACAAGTTCACGTAGGAACAACTGGGCCATGTAGAACAGAAGCACCAAGTGCGGGTTGTCGGTGAGTATGCCATCGGCCATGGCGCTGCAAAAATTGAAGGGTAAAAAAACAATGAGTGCAATGCAAGGTAACATGAACATCGGGTTCCGAGTGGATATGAAATGGGAAAATGGTAAAATGGAATGCCGCATTGTGTGGGCCGCATTTGTGGCACGCCAAATTGCATGCGGAAATTGTGAAATGAAATTTATATGATTTTATGACATTTCTTTGGGTCGAGAGTGGGGTTACTGGGGTAAACTGGTGACAAACTAATTCATTTCCGCCAGAACTTTAAAGGACATTTTCGATTTATATATCAGCTGCTCTTGTCCAGAAGAGATTTTTTATGTGAAACTTGTATTGAATTGTGTGGAATTTTGCATTTTGCATATTTTTCAGGGCAGGAAAGGTTTTTCCAGCTGTTGGAAATAATACCTTCTCGGGAAAACACTATATGCTAACTCATAACAGCTTGCTGGTATTGATTTTTGACTTAAAACTTTACTTGGGAACCTTAAAATATTGGAAAAGAGAAATCAAACATAATAGCATATTCCCTTTCTTATGATCTGTAGCTGTAACTTAGCAGAACCGCACCTATTATCTTCATAACTTTTAATATCTGCAAATAAACATGGAAAATGAATTTCTAATTCCATGATCACCAGCTAAATGACATTTTAATTCAACGAAATTACCATTAGGAAAATAATTTATATAATTCTACAAAACGCTCTGTAGCACTCGCAGTGGCATAATTCATTTAGAAAACACTCAGAGTTTACAGTTGGTACGCAAATTGCTGCTTAGTTGACATTAATTTCAGTTTTAGCAGCACCAAGTACACAAACGGGGCAATTATGAGGGCAACGTAGAGGGGGTGCCAGCTACGGAATGGGACACAAATATAAATTGCCATAAACATATTTGCAGCAACAGAGGAATAAATTCAATTTGTAAATTGCTTTTGCATTGCCCAAACTCTACGGAGCTGGAAATGAAAAATCTGTATTCTAGCAAGGGAGCCGCCAGGGCATGTGAAAGTGTTGGCGTGTCTTCTGATTTCACCCTCCATGGCTGGCATTAAAGCAAATAAATTGCGAATTAATCTTCCCCAAGGTGTAACCCAAGCGGAGTTTGAGCGTGAGAGGGCTTAAAGCTTAAAGTGATTTAGATTTAAGCTCCCTGCTGAAGCAAACGAAATTTTGGCACAAAATGCTTTTTAGTAAGAAGCTGGATTTTTGTTTGTTTATCTAAAAGTTGCCTATACGATTATAGAATCAGATTACATATTGATGAAAAATCAACAATTTAAGGCTAAACAAACATAAAAACCCATCTTAACTTCTAAACATCTACACTAATTGCAGAATCCCCCATAAAAATATACAAATTAGCTTACTCAATTCATAATCATCCGGTTATGACCTTGCCTAAGACCATCATTAATATTTTATTATCACACATCAGCATTTATACAGCATATAACCCTGGCAAGAGTCCGACTTTAATGCTCAAATCGTAATCAAATTAATGCTAAGCGATTTCCTTGGAAAAAATAAAACTGCAAGTTGTAAATGGCAGAGAGCAATGTTTTAATGACTTCCCTTCCCGTTTATCCCATATTTTCCTGATTGTGTTGCGCGGACATTAACGTGGGTCATTTTCGCCAGCAAAACCAACACCAAGAAAATCGCAATAATAAGTTTGAAGCAACCAAGCAAAATCCGCATAGCATCTGAAAACCCAAACAAAACAAAAAGGGCGAAGGGCAGACCGTACAGAGAAGGAGGAAAAAATGGCCAGACCATTGTCAGCAGATGGTCTTGATTACAGCTCGGACGTTATATTCATTTATTGCAAATAACAGTGAAATATTTTTTATTTCCTCTCTAGACCCATGGAAATCTTGTTGGGAAAATTGTACAAAATGGTCAAAGGAAGGGGCGTTCATAAAAACGCGTTTATCAGGGTCGCTGTTTTTCCTACCCAATCGAAGTTATTAACTGCAGCTGTATAAAGCTGTTAAAATTGCCACACTTTACGAGAGAGACAGAATTCCTTAAAGTGTCTGACGCTACGTGACAGGCGTCTCCCTAATTGCGTAACTCTACCCAACTTTTCCTTGCCTGGGCGCTGTCTTCAATAATTTGCTGTCATTTTCACAAACATGACCACAGAACATCGTCCTGCGAACTGGGCTTCCGGGAAGCGGCATCAAGTGTCGAAATAATGAACGAAGTAGCCGACAGCGACAATAAAACAATGCAGCACGGCAAGCACTATGGAATGTAAAGGGGCTTAAACTTAAAACTTTAAATTTAAAACTTTAAAATAAGGAACATTATGTAAACCTTTACCTGATCATTATTAGCTTTTTAAATTAATAAACCTAAGCTTTATCGTCAAAGAACATAAAGGAAAGTGGGCTATGATTTGAGAATTTATTATATATTTGCTAATATTTTAAAATTAATTTATTATAAGAATAATATACAATATCCTTTCCCACAGTGCTGTTACAAAAGCAGTTGCAGGAAACATAAAATTTTCGACACAACCGCAGACAACGCCATCGACGACGTCTATGAGATTGGCTTCGGCTTTGATGGCGCTGTCCCCGGAGGTCAGAATCCTTGTGTTATGTTCTCCCTGCGGACTCAGGGCAATTGTCGGATTGTGTTTTCCGTGCAGCAAAACAAGAAGGACTAAGGAACAGTAGTCCGAGTAATATTTGCAGCGGAAATGCGTTTAAGCTAACATGACGTGGAATGGGTATCGTTGTTCAAGGAATGGGTTTTGGGAGATAGAATGGGAATCCAGCCCCCGAGGACTGTGTTGACTAACTTGCTGTCAAAACAGGAGGAACCGAGCGGCTAAAACAAAGGCAGCGCTAGTAATTTAGCAACAACAAACAACTGCACATAACTACAAGCCAAACAGCAGAACAAATGCGAAGTAAGCGCAGGCAAATAGACAGATGGATAGATAACATGAACACAAACGCAAACAGGGCGAAATGGACCGAATGTCGCCTCCAAGGATATATGTGCTATATAAGATGCACAGCGAGAAAAGATCTATCAGGTAATCAAGTTTCATCTTTGACTTTTCTCTACTTGTCATCAGATTCATATTCTTTCAACATTCCCAACCACATATGATTATCCTTTTTACATCGATTTTCTTGCTGTGTATCTTCAGTACATGTATAAGTGCGAGTTGGACAAACAGACAGGCAAACAACTATCAGTCACTCAAGGCAGTTGGCAAAGTGCTGCCGCCATCTGAGAACTGCGAATGGAAATGGCAATGGAGGTGGAAATGGGCCTGACTCGAGGAAAGCGTCTCTCCGAGTGACTATTTCCAAGGTAGCCTGAAAGGTCTGGGCTGATTTTTTTTAGCGCCCTCTCTTTTCAAGGAGTGGAGTGGAAAGGAAAAGCACTTGCCTTGGGTATCACAACTTTGTCGTCATGTTTGGCCAACGAAACCACAAAAGTTGTGGCTAAATGGTAACTCTATTTGTTCTAGGAGACAACTTTGAGGGAAATATTTGAGTTGTTAATATGAATGTTTAGTTTGTGGTGATTGAACATAAACAGAAAAATATAAGAAAATTTACAAAGCTATAAATAAAACATATAACGTCTTGCGGTGCCAGCATATTATTAGTATTTTACAATTTCTAGCTAATATGTTAGAACTTTTCCAACAAAAGTTGGTTTCTATTTTTGTATATTTGTTTTTACAATTTGTTTTGAAAGCTCTGACTAATGTTGCCTTTGCACTTAAAGATTTCCCCTTTTACAACCAGAGTATGACATATTCCTTATGGCAAAGCAAGCAATCTTAAAGCATTCACTTTCCTTTTTGTTCCCTACTTTGTGTGCTTTCTCCTTTATGGCACAGGACTATCGAGCTGTTGTGACTTTGGCTGTCTCACATGGGTCATGCATGTGTTTACAAAACATAAAACAGCAACAAACAACGAAACACTGTCAGAAAGTTTGGCTCTGTCATTGTCAAGTTGAGACCGAAGTTTTTGCCCATCCCCCTGATGGCTTTTCCATTTGCTTTGTTCATTTTGCGAGCATACTTTTTGCTTTATTGAACTTTTACTTTCAATTTAACTTTGTGTCCTCGAGCATTCCTGCTTTTTTGCCACTTCTGCGCTAATTCATTGTCGTCACTCATACGCCATGTGCGCCTATTTGCAAACGATGCCTCCAACAGAGCAAAAAGTGAGGAGAAAGTGAGGATGACTGCTCGTCGAGTCGTTCATTTGTGTCAATAAAGCAAAAATTAATTGAAATCTCCCAGTTGCTGTTTTCGTCGCTCTGGTCTGGCCTCCTGCCAGCCAATCATCAATTTAACTGTCTCTGGTTCCGGTTTTTCCAGTCTTCAGTCTTTCTGCACTCTTACCCAGTCGAATGTACATACTCTTAGTAAGAATGGACAAAATGCTGATGCGGATGCTCGTCTCGTTATATTGACATTTCTCCACTCCAGAGTGACATTTAAAGCGTCTGCTCGATAATAAATCACATTGTCATATGGCAGCGTGGTGTGCTTAAAAAGTTCTACCCCGCAAACAAAAATTTGACAGATACCCCATGTCTGAAATTACAAATATTGTATATGAATTCCCCCTCAAGATGTTTGTTAAAAAATCGAAAGCGAAAAGAGAACAAAAAATGAAAGGAAGATGTTTTTGGGGGTGCGATAATGGCACATGTGTGGCATCCACATGGGATTTCGTCTTTGAAACACTTTTGGGGGCATAAATCAATAAATTGAAGTCGGTAAACAGACAGGACCCGAAAGTCAACTGGGATGTTAAAGTTTTGTGCCTTTTCAGCTGACAGAGGACTGAGAGCTCTGTAGACTAAATCCTTATCATATTGATGGGAACTCTTGCCACTTCACCACTTTGGCATTGCCAAACAAAACGATTTTCAACCACATTTGTGCAGTTTTCTCTTAACTTTTTGTTTTGTTCTCAAACAAATGAGAAAAACAATTGCACACACACACTCCGCTCAGGTCCTTTCATCAGGTTTAATGAAAAAAAATTACCCAATATGCTGTAAGCCCCCAGGCAGCTCAGAAAAACGTTATTAACTTTTGCTGTTTCGGGCTTGAACGGGGAAAGTGAAGAGCTCTGATAAATTATGCAGCACTTTGAAATTGAATTTCAAACTCAGCCACTAACTCATTTTGAGAGCATTCCAAGGGCCCTCAATCCGAGTCCAACAAATTGTTATTTATGTTATCCCTTCCACAGGGTTCTCCCATCCCAATTTGACTGCAATTAGATTTGCATACATTTCCATAAAGAAGGGACAGACACGTTAAGGAAGTGCCCCAAATGTCACACACACGTTGCTGTTTATGTTTATGTTAATGCTATCTATCCCTTTGGGGACTTTCTCTCAGGTGCACTGAGAAAAATGAATCATAACTCATCAAAATTGAACTTAATTTCACTTCCTCATTAAATTTTATTAACTCAACGTATATATGACAAAAATAATGTTCAGAACTTAAAGTTTCTTTCAGTGTATCTGTAAATTATGTGCAAAAGCGAAAGCAGTTCGAACTCACCTCTTGACCTGGGGCATCAGGATTTGGGCGGTGTGCTTGAGTGCCTCCACGCAGGTGCGTCGCAGCTTGCGGATCTTCTCTCGCAGCTCGGGGCAATCCTTGGCCTGCCCCACGTGTATCAGCATATCGCGAAATAGCGCCACATGGCTGTTGATCTCCACGATGAGCTGAAATCACACGGAGAAAGGGTTTTAGTCGTATCAGGGTCATCGTCAGGAAACTGTTGGTTAATTTATGCGAAAGCTCTATTAGGCCCAGCACATAGCACATAACACATTACATATTTTAATTTATGCACAACCCCATCTAAAGACCGCAGGCAGCCATGTTTGTTTGCCCAGCAGCCTTCTTGGCCCAGGAAAATTCTCTGGGAAAACTTCTCTGGCCAGATAAAACTGAGGCTGCCGGATGCTGTTGTTGCTGCTGTTTTACGGCTCATTGCCGAAATGGAGGCGGCAAATGAATCGAGCAATCGAGACCTAATTCCTTTGCAGACGCCATAGCCAGCGCCTTTTGCCTGCGGCCGAATCAGGCTCATAAAAATTAAAATGCCTGAAATGCGAAGGATTATTCGAGCTCATTTTTATGGCTTTTGGGTTGGTTGAGACCTTTTTCTGGAGAGGCAGAAGGGTCAAGCTGTTGCTGGAAAGTATATTAAGTCAATTATTATTGACTGAATTTCTTATTCTTGGCTTTAAGTTCATTTTATGGGTCTAAGTATGAAACACATTCTGTGTACTTTTGAGGAATGTTTTAATTAGTTAATTAACATTTTGATCAAAAGACTGAAAATTATTCTTAAATGTCTTGTAGTTAAAGAGTTTGCTGTGAAATTATTAAAGCTATACTGATACTTTGTAAACTCCAAATTTAGATAGTTTCTTTCATGTAAAACCTCGATTTAAAATCCGTTAAAATTCACAAACAAATTTGATTGATTATGACCAATTAAAAATTGTCATACTGGTATGGCCTTCCTATTTTTAATTAAATTTTGTTTTTATTTTACCACCTCCGTCAAGTTAATTTTACAGTCAGTCATAAGCTTAATTCTCCGCGTAATTCCCAAGCGCACAGCCACACATACGAACCAATGCCACAAATCCAACCTACACACACACACATGCGAACGGCACGTTTAAATATTAATGGTTGACTCTGGCAACCTCATTTCCTGCCCGATCTGCCACTACCGCTTGAAAATCCACGCCCCCCATTTGGTCGCGCACTTCATTTAAAACGCGGCGTATGCGTAATTTTAATAATCCTCGAAAGTCTGAAACGCCCCCGGCAAATGCAAAGTGAATTCTGTGGCTTGACTCAATTTGGGGCCGACAGCTGTGCGATAAAGAAGAAGTCTAAGAGGAGGCTGGAAGATTTACAGCTTTATGAAATATATGCATGATTAGTCATATTGATGGCATCGGCCTGACAATGCCACACAGACAAGGCCAGAAACGGAGGCGGAAGAGCAGCAGGGCGGGGCACTTAGCCAAATTGCTTATTGAATGTGCTGCGAGGGTACGAGATTTCCAACCAAAAACTTTATCCAAAAACGAAATGGATGAGGAGAAGAAGGGGCGGGATCATGGCTTTGTAATCATTCCTCTTAGCTCTGGCCTAGGCAAAACTTTTCCACCATCAGCTGTTGCTGCCCCTCCCCCCCTCAGTGGGAAATTTATTGGATTCATTGTTTTTGGAACTCAGTTTTGTTTGCCCCTTGGTTGTGATATTGACAGGAACAAGGCAGAACCGATGGGGGAGGTGGGTTTAATTTAAAGCAAAAAATCAAACTCAGCTTTCTTATGGAAAAGGCTTTTGAAGAGAGTTGGCAAAAAGGTTACAAAAAGTAGTAATAATAATAATTCAACCCATGGAAAGGCTTAAAATCACAATTATATTGCAAAATATTTCCCTTTAACTTTAGATTTATGCCTCAAATAAAGACTTTTACGCTCACATAGTCATTTACCTTTTACCCTAAGACACGACCCTATATCACCTGAATATAAAATTCCCAAAATGTTTCATTAAAGACTTTAATAAGACACAGCCCATTGGGGACGCCACAAAATCCTGTCTCCGTTGCTGCCTAATTATTTGGTTTTTTCACCTGTCCGCCAAGGACAGTGACTCTCATAAAACACTAGCAAGTGAGGCACAAGTATAAGCTCATAAAAGCCACACGCATAAATTTTATATGACGCTTAAATCTCGGCAGATATAAAGAGACAAAGCAGGGCTTCTGGTGAGGGTTAGTGGGGGGGTGGAAGGTGGAAGGTATTTTGGCCCATTTGGAATGGTGTTGCAAAAAGTTCATGCAGCTCATGCAAATCCCAAACGTAAACGCCTGTCGTCTTCGTCCTGCGGCAAAGGTCCTTGGGCTGGCATAAAAAGGGACAGCCGAGAGCAGTGCTAAACCAGAGTCAAGTCCCAGTGCAAAAACAAAAAAATAATACAAATGAGAGAGAAAAAACCGTAGCACATTTCTGAAATTACCTGACCACACACACACAGACTAACTTATATGAGAGAAATTCCTTTATATGGGGCTTTGGGCATACATATATATATATATATATTCTATTCCCCGGGCGCACTTGGCGCTCCATTTGGTCAGTAATGAGAGCAGTGCCTTAATGGCAGTACCACCAAAAAAGTGTTCTACAAAAGATGTGCCGCGTGTAGAATAATAAAAGCTAGTGGGGGAGTCCCTCCTCATATTCCATATGCATATGCATATTCATCCGGAACTAGACTGGCCATGTTGTTTTACTATTCTTTTACTGGCAACCACTTTGAACTACTTTTGCTTCAACAGTTGAGGCGGAAAATTGAAAAACATCTGCCAACGCTGCCTCCTCCCTCCTCCCCTTTTGAATGTAATGCAACAAAAGCAATAGAAAGCAAAAATTGCACGCGTTTTACGTGCCACAAGCCACATCTGTTACATACACAGAAATGTATATTACTAATTTGGCATCTAAAAGTATGCAACAATAAATGTTGACTCTCAAAGTCCGTCAGATTAATTTCCGTTTCCGGATTAAAAGCACACTTTCTAAGTGATTTTAGATTAAGCATCGAATTTTCCGTAGAACATTAATTATAAACGTTTTTCCTAACTTGATTTAAACATCTACGAAGTTTTTCTTAGTGCACATACGTGCTGTGGCATGCCGTAAGAAAACACACTTCCACTCCCACCCTCGTTGGCCAAATGTGTAAATCAGCAAAAACGCAAATGCCACAACGCCAAGAACAAGACAAAGAAAGCCCGCGGGGTGGAGGTTGAGATAAGATGGGTGGTGACGTTTGGTAATGTGGTGGTTGGGGAGGTTGGGGGGACAGGGGAAAGAGAGAGAAACTAACATACAAAAGAAAACGACGACAAGTAAAACTGAATCTAGACAAAGTGAAAGCGGAAATTAAAATTGCAATACAAAAGAGAGGAACCGACAAAGACAAAGACAGACAGCGTTTATAATGAAGAGAGTGTGTGGGCGGTCGTTAGAATGTGTGAAAGTTTGTTTTGAGATACATTTTAGAATGCATTTGCCCAGGGCCATGGCATAACAATGACCAGAGCGTAGACAATGTTGGCCATAACCTTAAAACCCACTCTTCTCAAATTAAGAACAAAAAGTTGTCAAATATTCAAATATTCTTTGAACTGTTTAAAATTTCAGTAAAACGAATACATTAAAGAGCTAAATTCAGTTTAGGAAATGCCATTATATTCTATGCTGGGTTTCTATTAGTTCCAGTAGTTCTAGAAGTTCCATTTAAGATAATAATAGAAACTTTCTTTTTCAGTTTGCACATAACAGCAGATGTACCTAATAAATATCACGCACCATTTGCAAAAAGGGAGCTGCAAAAACTTTGATAACACGCTACTGCTAATGCGCTTTCCACATCCACATCTGTTGATGTCCAGCAACTGCAACGCCCACATGGAACAATTACCAGTAGAATGGGGCAGAACTAGCCGAGTGCAATGCCAAAACACATTAGCCAACGAACCAACAAGTTGAACTGTAGAATAATTACAATCGAACTGGCAGGGGGTCGTAGGTAGTTGGTTGCAGGCAATCGCAGGAAGCAGCCAACTAGCCAACTGTCCATTCAACAGACGACCTTTGAACCAACCATTCCCTTCCCTTTAGCCTGCATCAACTTCCACTCCTCCTTTCAGCCAAACAAAGGTTCGTTACAGTGTATGAATGTCGGACAGCGTTTTGAAAACGGCTTACAGAGAAAAAAAAAGTAAGCCAATTAATAAAAAAACATTTTTAGCTAAAAAGCATAATTATATGTAAAATTTTTCTTCTATCTACAAATTTTAAATTTTGCAAAAGAGACTTTATATAGACTACCATTCAGTTATCAACTTTTATGGAAGTAAATTCTTTCAGTGTTTTTCAGCTCGTCAGCAAGTTGCAACAGGAGGCAACAGGAGGTAGCAGCAAAAACATCACAATGCCGCAGATGTGCAACACACATGGCCAATATCGAATGGACCCATGTGAGGGTTGTGAGGGATTTGAGGGACGTCCTCGGGGCGTTGGTGTGAGCCACAAAGCTCCACTCGGCCAGCAGCAACAATAAAAGAAGAGAAGTGTCTGGAACAACCATCGAATCGCAGCTGCGGGAAAGTGACGGTGATGAGAGCTCCTAACCCCTCTCATACCCTGACCAATAATCCTATGACCCCATCGATTTCAACTCCTGATGCCGCAGAAAGCAATTCGAATTGGACTGCCTGCCTCTGGTTAGATCACATGCAGTGCGTTTGAGGTCTCGCAATTGGTTGTCACCCAAAAAGAAGGTTTCGTGGAAATATTATTTCTATTTATTTCAATATTTGTTTATGATTTAATTTCCATAATCTCTGAGTTTATAAGGTTTAATTCTTAAAGACAGCCCTTCAGATTCATTTCTTTACTTCTCTTCCAAAGCCCAACATTTCCATTTAAAAAGAAAGAACTCCCATCTAGGCAGCAATTGCATCGGCCATTCGAATCATTTACGAAAGTGATAACAAAAACTTGTAGTCCGCAAAATCGATAAGATGCTCGCCCAGAAGGAGGCGGACTTTTATTTGCTCCTTGACAAGGAGTGGGCACATAATGGTCTCAATGGCGGGCGATTACGACGATGGGATTTGGATAGGGACTGGTTTAGTGGATTGGGTGGTAGCAATGGGCAAAAGGACGGCCCAAATGGTTGGAGTGTGTGCTGAGCTGCTCGGTTTACATTATCAATCAAGCTGACTGACAATCGACGGATACCTTTCGACCATATTGAGAGTGACACAAGGCGGAGAATGCTGGGATGTCCTGTGTGCGAGGACCTTGAATACGATCCTTTGCTTAGGAAGGGCTTTTTATTGCGCAACTTTCTGCCCCAAAAATTTATTTGACCTTCTAACCCGAGTCACATACACACACACACACATACTCACACACACGCCGGAGAGACAAATGTTCGCCGCTAAAGTTAAGTACAAGTTTTCAGTTTTTATTGAGGTCCTGTGGTTGCTTCCAGACCCTCCAAATGCCAAGAGCCACACAGACACAAGCCCAATGACAGGGTCGACTAAATGTCTACACAAACATGCCATACATTATTCCAAAATTAATGAAGACATATTGGCGGCCGTTGAGAGAGTGGGAGTGCTCATTTAATGAAAATTGGTTGTAGTTCTTTTTTGGCACGCACTTTTCCCGCTACTCCATGCTCCTTAAGAAACTGCAGTGGCCAAACCCGAAATTATTATTTCCACTCTAGTCCAAGACAGCCAGCCATTTTTCTTGAACGAAAACGGGGGGAAACTGTGAAGTCTTTTCTCATCAACGCCAGTCACTCGCCCCTTTCGCCGAGTGTTTTTTAAAGCAAAAACATGCTGATACAGTGAGAGAAATATAAATAATTTTAAGATTTGTATTATATCAAAGAGGAATGCGACTTTATTTAAATTGAAATTAAAAACTTTCTCTTAATTCAGGAATAAGTAGTTTTTTCAAAAATATTTTTAAAATAATTTACAAATTTCCAGTTACACTTTATTCTGAGTGCATAAGGCGTAGCTTTAGGTGGGCGTGGCTCTGTGCGTGCCCTGTGAAAGGAGAGCTGCCTCGTATAAAAGTGCTTCATTACTTTGCGCAACAGCTCGCGAGAATATAATGAATGGCAATAAACGTGTTTCACATTTTCCTTTTTCGCTGCCCCTCCTTCCCGCTTCTCTCCTCCAACTTTTTTTTACAAAAACATTTTTCATTTAGCTGGTAGACAACTTTTGTGTATGGTCAAGAGAGCCACGTTTGCTTCCCTCCTCTACTCTCTTTCTCTACTACAACTTTCACTTAATGCAATCCTTTCAATAATTTCCATCAGCTGTTAATGCAGTGGGTGGGTCTGTTTTATAACTATTTTCTTTTGACATACAAGCCATAAACTAGTTTTCCACTCAATCTTATTACTATTATTATACTGCAACGGATGCTGGACCCAAATGCACTGTGAGAAATCGCAGAAAAACTTTTTTTAAATTGAAGGTCATCCCAATTAGTTGATTTCCCGCGATGTAGCACACTTTTCGGCGCCAGCTTAAAGCTCGCTTTGTAGCTTTTAGGATCTCTTTTGCAATTTTCCAGCGAATTAAGCTGTGCACTTGGATTCGAGATTCATTAGTGCTTGTCTTTATTTGCCATAAGGCGACTCGGCACTTTTTCGGAAAGGTCACTCGGCCAGAAACCAAACTCTTAGAAATTGCAACTGCAAAAGAATTCCTTTGGAAAAAAAATGCAATTTGGCAATCGTTTGAGGTTTGCCAGTTTGAGAACAAGCTAAATTGGTTTCACTTCTTGCTCGAGTTTATCTTTTCAAATGCAATCAACCGTTTTAGCTGTGACTACGGAAACCAAAGTTATGGATGGCATCGAAAAGTCTAAACAACTTGACTCTTTGATGTTAAGTAGATTTAAAGAAAGATATTTTCCCTGAAGTCAAAAATGTTTGTTTATTAAGAGATTTAAATATAATTTTTGTTTAAAAGTTTAAAATATTATAGTTTTTGGCAGAATAGCTTAAAAAACTCTTCCTCCTTTTGGCCATAAACCAAATGGAATATAATTTTGAATTTATTTATTTGGACAGATTGCAAAAAGGAAATAGGTTGCTTATGTTGAACTATTAATTCTCAAAAACGGAGCTAGTATTTTATTATCAGATATTCTACAAATTCAAATAAAACCAAAAAGGATATACGAATTTTAATTATTATTATATTTATTTTTTATATTTTTAAGCCCCTTAACTTACCGTATTCAGGTTGGTGATCTTGTCTAGTTCCACGGCCGTACTGCCGCGATGGTGGTGCAGGTGGTGCAGATGGTGTGTTGTCAACATGTTGCTCGTTGGTGTTGCTCTTGCTGTTGTTGCTGCTGCGGTGGCGGATGTTGTTGCTACATTCAATCGAACATATCCTGCGGGTCACAGAATGTCTGCTATTTGTCCACGGAATCGCGGCAAGCCATCAAGGCAGCCGCTCAGCTCGCAAATTGGCAATTGCAAATGGATGCACTTAGCTTCGCTTATTTCCAATCACATCACCTGGATTGCTGACCATCTGCGGAAGCGGGAGAAAAACAACAAAGAGTGAGATTGATATTGAGTGGGATTCAGATCCAATTGCATACGACTATATGCAAAATCGTTTGACACCGGAACGCGTTGACACACCTTTCCGGGATGGCTGAAGGATAGGAAGGTGGTAGTGCCGATTTCCGGCACGTCACTTCACCACAATCGATTCAGTTGGGGATTTTAGTTTGCATTTTGCTTTATTTTTTGTTCGTTTGTCATGCCATCGATTTTCAGTTTCTGCCCCTCAGTGAAAAAAAAGAAACAATCGAAGCCAAAGCGACAGTTGGCAACCAAGCGCTTTTGGCATTTTTCGGCGTTAACACTTCATTTGGCTTTGAGTGGCGGAATTGGTTACTACGTGGCCACAAACTTGTATCCACTTAGCCTCTGCCCTGCGCTTCCTTCGATTCGCACAAATAAACAAGCAGTCTACAAAGGTCGAGGAAAATGAAATTAAATTCAACTCTTGGTGCAGCAGCAATATGCAGGAAAACAGAGACTAGATCAACAATGTGGGTTGCTTCAAAAGTTTTGGAAGAGGAATCAATGATCTGACTTTTTACATATATTAACCCCGTTTTTAAAAGTATCTTTATTTGTTGTTAAGTTTGCTTTTAATTTCGTTAAGGGAAGTATTAAGACTTGTACTTTATGAGTTCTCTAGCAACCGCCGCTGCCCCATCTGACCTTTGCTAGACCATCTTCTTCGTAAACTATGAAATTACATTAAAAGGAAAACAACTGAACATAACAGAGCCCAGCTGCATCAGTTGAAAAGTCTGAAAGTCAGCGCAGAAAAGCAATGCAAACAAATAATGTAGGCTAAGACCCAAGGTAAATTGTTTGCGATGGCTGGGAGATGAGATGGGTTCCAGAGATGAGGTGAGGTAAAGATGTCTGCCTGCAGTCCGTGTTTGATTTGTGCCAGTCAAGTCGCTCAATTTACCAACACAAACAGCTTTCAAAAAGCCCTGGGCAAGAGTTTTGAATAAATTTCCGTGAATATTATTTCAGTGAGCATGAAAAGAGTCGAGCAATTCAATAATTAAATAAATTTCTATTAATTCAAATTCATTTTTCATGGTTCAGTTCTTAAGAATGATTTTATTTCTTGGGAAATAAAAGGAGAAAGCTATTCATTGAATATCAAGGAAAGGTGACCAAATATCTGTATAATAACATCTATTTATATAAAAACCGAAATCAATCTGACGATATCAATTTCATAAATTTATTTATTTTTCACTCATTCCAAACAATAGTTAATGCTTTGACAATTTAACTTTTCCGGCAAGGATAATTTTAGAACGGAAACAAAATTAATTTCCTGTTGGAAAATTAAATTTCTGGCACAAAACCGAGGCTTTAGCTGCCGTGTGAGTTAACTCCAAAATGTGATGCCACATTTATGCCTGGCCCACCGTAAATGCAACTGATAAGAGGTGTGTTTATGTCAGCTGGCTTAGAGTCACACTTTTCCCGGAAGTATCCGCATTGTTTGACACTGGAATCGCACGTGGAAGGACGAGCTGCGTGCTCGGCATGGAAATGCGACTCATTAAGTCACGGCGCGTTGGAAAATATGCCGCGAAAGGATTAAGCGACGATGCCGGCGACAAAATGGCGCGCCGCCTATTAAAGGATTTCATCTCATCGTCCTCGTTTTCGTTTTCCTTCGCATTTTCCTCCATTTCCATTTTCATTCCTGTTGCTGCCGTGCGTTTCGCCAGCTAAGTGTAATTAAAAACTTAAATGAAGAAGGAATTTAAATGTGTTGCTTTTTGCATTTATGAAACATTAACGCGAATCTGATGCAGATGATGTTCTGTTTAATTGTCTGTGTGTGTGTCTGTGTGTCTGCGAGAATTTAAATCAATTAGTGCCACTGTGGCGTATACGCAATATCTGACTGCGCGAGTTCTACCCCAAAAAAGAAAACATAACGATGACTAAGAACGCGAGGCGGTTTCATTTGTATGGGGGAAATCCGTAACAACAGAATGCCATAATCATGTGAAATAAAACCATTCCGAATGCGAGTGCATGTTCTCGCTGGCTGGGAATTAGCCTCAGTCTCAGTCTCGACACTCTGCCAGACATGGCAGAAACTCATTAGCTTTATTACACACAGACACCATTCTACGGATGAAAGTGTGGAGGCGGAACAGGCTGAAGCCACCACATTTGTATTAACTATTCATGCCCGCACACAGTCATACTTCCATTCACCCACAACTTCCCACTCTGTGCCGCTAAAGACATTTGAATAATTTTGACAAATGTGTGATTAATTCAAGCATTTTGGCAACTAAGGCTGTCATTTTTTATGTGAATGCGACAGCAAATTAGCACTTCATAAACACGAAAAGGCTCAGTAACATATCATTCTTGTTAAGTATATAAAAGAAAAAGTTTTTAAGCCAAAAATAACTTTTCAACCCGCATATTTAATTAAAAATTCTTAAAAACCTACAAAAAGTTTATATTTATAAACTCACTCTATGAGTTTTAAGCAAAAATAGTTTTTGTACCTGATCATATCTCAAGTTTTATAAACTTGCAAACTATTTTAATAACATTTTATGACAGCATATGAATTATTTTCAATAGATAAAATCGGAATATATTTCTTATGTATTTTATTATAGTCAAATAAAATTCTTATAGGACTTAGCCACTTGTATGCCCAACGACAGTTAACCTTTCTGAACGAGCCAAGTTCTATTCAAGTCCTTCACAATGACTGCTTGATTGGGGCTTGGGCGATTAAAGACCCTGACAAAGTGAAATTTATGGCACTCGGGACACTTAAAGCTAAACGGCAGGCGCTTTTTTCCTTCTCTCTGTCACACTGTTCATAAGGCCACCCAAGTAAAATATGAAACAGAAATCAGACGGAGGCAGCTACAATGAGCGGACAGGAGCAGAAAAGTGCACACAGCAAATAAAAGCGACGATATAAAAGACTCGCATGCCGGAAACGGCAAACGACAGTCGGCTGGGTGGAGGGGAAAGCGGTGCAAAGTGGAAAGGGGGGTGCTGAGCGCCTAATGCCAATGCCAAACACCGGATGCGGATGTGTGACACATGGCCAAGGGGCAACCTAACCATCACCACCACCAACTGGCAACGTCGACTGGCAACATACGCACAATGTCATTGTCGCTAGCTTTAAGTAGGCGACTTTATTAAGCCGAGGACACCGAGAGGCACCTCCAAAGTGGCCAGAGCGCAGCAAAAACAAATGCCACTTTAGAATGACAAAATTAGGTACTATGGAACAAGAAACTATGACAGTAATACAGACGATAACTACAAACTTTGGTAGAGACAAACTTATTTACCATGCGCCTAACTTGAATCAAAAATCAAACTAAATATCATTTTTATAAAAAAATAGAAAAAATTTCTTGAATTTCTTAAAGCTTTTCTGTTTAATTTAATATTTAAAATACATTTTATTTTCTTTTCAAAGTAAATCTCCTCTTTAAATCAGTTTACCGCACAGAGTAAAGCTCCAGCTTAACATGCAACTCCCATGGTGGCCTTAAATTTTACGCGCTCCGCTTGAGTGAAATTCCCACTGTGCATTGGCCGTGTGCGAAAAGAACAAACGGCATAATAGGCCGGCAGGACACCTGGGCCTACGTGTGGGCTGTTGTTTTGACTGGCCTTGCCCCAAACCACCTGGCATAAAATTAAGCCACGACGACGACGAGTACGCCGTGTTGTCGCCTGGCCGCTTCTTAGTCTTGGGCAAAGGTCGTTTATGGCATGGCCACAATTTGTTGCTTTTTGATATTTATTTAGACGCGGCTCATGTGAAATGAAAAGTGGAACATAAATCAAAAGCACAAGACGTTGAAAAACCCTGAAGGAAAAGCCGCAGCGAAAAAGGGAAAACTTCAGGTGCAGAGAGAAGGACTTAAACTGGTTATTTATGGCAGGGCCAAGGGCGAGGAGTTGAGTCTAGTTCCCTCAGCTGGGTTTCCACGATGCCAACTCCTTTAACAGATCCCTCCGAGAGTCTCCGTTTTTATAGTTAAATAAGTTAAGTTATACCCTAGTTTGCCTCAAGAACTTAAAAATATAACGCCAACAGTATTTTACGCGGAAAGGTAGGCAAACTTACCCCCTTTCCTACTATAATTTCCAACTAGTTCTAGCCATTATTTTACTTAGTGCCCCTATCTTTATCAAAGAAGAGCCAAGAAATAAATTTTTAAAATGGATAGGAAAAATAAGGGCCCTTGGTCCAGTCGAAATAACGACGACAGCGATTCATCGTCGGGGAATGACATGATCTTTGGAGCCAGATCCTCGAGTACATCCACTGACACAAGCAGTGAAAGTTCCGTGGAGAAGGAGCAGCCTACCGAAATGGAGTACCTGTGTATTCCAGGCGGCAGCTATGATGTAAGTACAGACTTTTTCTAATTAAAACTTCTTGATCTAGCCTGATATTCCTACAAAACAGATAATCAGCAACAGCAGTATACAGCAGCTTGTGCAGAAAATCGATGGAAGTTCCTCATTGGACGATCAAGGCTGCGATATGATTGCCAAAATAGCCGATGCCTTCGTTAATGACGTCGCCGTTCGCATGGTCAAGTTGGCCAAGCACCGTAAGGATAAAGTGGGCCTGCTGGATCTTAAAGTTCGTCCTCAAGCGCGAATACAACATGGAGTTTCCCAATGAATGAGAAATGTAAAATCTTGAAATAAAACAAAATTACCTTACCATTACATACTCTTACAAACAAAAACTGAATCTAAGTCCCTTCAAAGCACCTATATTCAGCAATCAATAAAGAAAAGGTTTCTATACCTGATGGAAAATTGTATACCACCGGATCATGATTAAGCAATTAATAAATTCAATAGCCGCTGTCGAGGGCCAAACACTCATTCAATAGACCCTACAAAACGGTCATCATGGTCTCGGCCACACTTGGTGGTCGAGCCCTTGACTCTCGGCTTTCAGCTTTCAGCCGGGAATTACTCAATATAAAGTTAAAGTGCCATAAAAATGCCAGGGCACATAATGCCACACACTCACACGGTTGCTGGAAAACACTCACATGCTCCCATTTACATACATGAACAAGCACTGGGTTCCTTTTCAGGTCCTTTTGCCTTAAAAAAAAAAAAGAGGAAAAAGCTAAGGCGGAAATTTCGAAACCGTTTTATTTTTCATATTTTTCGCCTTCTGCCTGAAGAACAAAGAATATTCTTTCGCTGGCCATGACCATGGGCATATTGTGGCAAACGGAAAAAAAGACATAATTCTGAAGCTTTTCTATCTGACTCTTAAACAAAGTTGTATTTATGTATTCAGAAGATGATCTGAATTTATTTAAATAATAACCAAGGGACTTTGTACTATATCTGTGGCATAACCCGGTATCTGCAATCCTTTATTTTTTTATTATCAGTTCGAGCAGCTGAACTGAATAAATTTTTAGCAATCAACAAATGAAAAGCAATGGCGGCAAAAGCATTTATTTTGTATTTTAGCTTCCAATTTGATTCGCAATAGAAATGAAAACTAAACATTTATTCAAATCCAATTACTTTTCTACAAAATGGTGTTTATAGGCTATAGTAAGCTATCATTTAATAAATAACAAATTGAATTTATAAAATGGAAGAAGGAAAAACGTTATGTGTGATAAAACTGCTATACATCATTTCAAAACGAAAATTGATTGGTAAGTGATTAAAACTATAATTAAAAACAGCTCACTGATAGCAGAGAATCACCTGCTGTTAATCATTTTTAAATGAATTAATTAATATGAAATAAATGTGCTAATGAATTAATACTACTGCCTAATGGATTAAGAAATTAATTAAAAATAAATATGCCTGTGGGAAATTTAAAATAAATGAGAGCTAAATAAGAACTTATCTAGTTTTCGTTTTTGTAACAACATTTCTAGACTATAAATTGATTTTGAGTTCTACTAATGTTTCTATTTCGATTACAGCCAAAAATAGAAAATCTTTCATTACACTTGAAGCCGCCCTCGAGGCAGCCGCAAACGTTCGCAATCATAATCCAGAAACGACACATTGGGGCGCATTTAAACTGATTTCATATTGGATCAGTGAGTGTTTTCGTTGGGCTGTGTGGTCGGAATATACATGTGTGTGTGCCACCAATACAACCACAAGTTGGCAGGAAATTCGTATGCCGTATGTCTTGGCACGCACGCAGGAAAATTCAAGCCATCGAGGATTTTGGGGTAGGCGAAATTATAATGAATTTGTCGTGCATACTATAGTACATTCCCCGATGCGTGACTCTCTATCGCTCTCTCACTCGCTCGCTTGTTCCAAAAACAGACACCATGTGCCACGCCCACTCCATTTGAGACCGATTTAGCTTAGTTCCGAGGAGATAAGCAGCTAAGTGACTTTGGCCCGACATCATGGCCTGGCCATGGGCTGTGTTGACGGTTTTCGAAATCGTGTGTGCACGAAATAAATACGAGTTCTAGATGGCGTTACGGATGATGTTGTTGCTAGATAAATTGAATTAAACTGAAATCAGTAGCCGCTGGCGGTAATAAATTAATGAAAATATAGCTCGGCGACAGAATAAAATATGAGGGAGCCAAATTGAGTTACCAGCATAAATCAAAGGCGGTATTTGTGAGCACATTACCATCAGGGAGGGGCTTGTCGCCTGACCAAACTTTTAAATTAATTTGGATTACACTTCTCCTTCTAATGGCTTAATAAATGCAGCGGCAGAGTTTGCAGCTTAAAAGTTTAGAGCACAAAATTCTTTTTTAATTAAATTCAAGTGTTCTACGACCTTTTCTGCATGTCAAACGCGACCAAAAGGAAACTTCCGCCTTTGAGCGAGTCATTTTCAAAGAAATTCACAAGTTATTCATGGCAACTTTGGGGGTATAAAACTTGAGTTGAGTGATATGTTACCAAAGAGTTGTCGCTGGGCCAGGCCAAAAAAAAAAAAAAAAAAAATAATATTCCTCTCTGGTTTCCGGCCAAGGTCAATGGGTTGCTGCAATCCAAATCCAAAGCTTTAACCGAGACGAGTTTTTGGCTTAGGACCAGGAAAAAAGAAAGAGGAGCAATCAATGCCAGTTGATTACCATTTGTGGAGTTGCCCAACTCACTTGCCGATGAATCAAGTTAATGAACTAAGTGAATTGGAAAAGTTCTCAACTTTTCCAGTTCGGCTTTAGGATACGAGAGTATTTGACGTTATCCTTGATGGTTTGACTTTTGAGAAAGAAAACACTTATTCTGAGCTCAAAAATGAATTTCGGTAAAGCACAAGTAACTTTAATGTGTATTTAATTTGGTTATTTACTTTTATCATAAAATGCTGGAGTTAATTTCAGAAACTTTGCAGAAAGTTTTAATTGTAATTTAATTGAATATTTAAAGGGATTTAATTTGATGTGCTACTAGACTGGTAATTTAATTGCTTAAAAAGTTTAGGAAAGCATTTAAATCTCTGATTTTTTACCAATTTCCTTGAATCCCTCTGGTGTCATTTACGACTTAAGTATCCGCTTTTGATATCCATCATAAAAAAGGCTCTTAAGCTAACATGTTTCGGCACTCTTCATAAGTTTGTCACGTTCAATTTCCGCTGCGACACCTTCGATAGCTTCGATGAGGAGTATTTAGTTTAATGCATGGCCATAAATTTAATGCATAACCAAATTACACTTTAAATCAAAATCCAGCTCAATGATGGTGGCCAGCCAATCCGAAGCAATTCCAAAATGGAGCTCAAATCTGTTTTTATGACCTCGATGGCTAAGTAAACTTAAGGCCAAGCTAAGGGCGAAACATCATCCCTCTCGGTCGTAAAGGAATCTTTTGCCAATTTATTTATGCGAATGCAGAACATGAAAACCAGGACAAACATGAATAAAAATATGATAAGTACATATTTAATGTAAGGCGGCCAAATGTGATTTGAAAATTTATTAAATCTAATTGCAGTGCGCAATGTGCAATTGTGGCAAATTGTCATCTGCCACAGAAATTGAAGAGTTTGCGTAGCAAATCAGGGACATTTCCAAAGCGAATGCGGCTCCTTGGCAGTAACCCCATTACCACTAAGTGCCATTGCAGGCGGGCCAAGAAAAATTACTTGGTTGAGGAGGGCTGGCAGTGTGCGGAAGCAGACCAGGTGCGCACTGTGGAGTGTTTAACTTAAATTCCAGAGGCTTCTTTCGATTTATTTCGATTTATGGTTGCAATCAATCTTGCGAAGCCATCGAGCAAGCTTATGAAAACAAACATTGCTGATTTACAATACAGCAAATACAGGAGAGAAAATCAAAACATCCTCAATTTAAGGCTTTAAATTAAAACGCATTGCTGCTGCTTGGTGTTTTTAGAATGAATTGAAAATATTTGCAAATTTGTGTTTAAATTAAAATCAAATTAAATCAATTTTCAAATGATATCAAACTGTATTAATTATTTATTTATTTTTCTTTCAAAAGAAATCAGATTTTTGTCAAATTTATGTTGGGAACTAAATTCCTAGAACAAATTTAATCTTTGAAAACTAAAATGATGTGAGACTGTAGGCATAACTTCATAGTTTTCGATTTTTAAGATAGAACTTTGCAATATTTTTAGTTAATCCTTTACCTACATCGCCCATTGTTCTTAGCGGCTTGTGTTTGCATTTGCATTTCATTAAAACACAGGCAGGTAAACAAGTTGCCGCCCATGGCACTCACTCACTGAGCTCGGTTAAACCTCAACCTGAACCTCAACCTCTGAACAGCGTACTCGCGACTACGGCGGATGATGATGGCTCTGCGAGGATGTTGATGACGAGGACGATGACGATGACGATGACGAGGGCTACGGATAGTGTGGAACTACTGTTGTTTCAGCTTTCAGCTGTTGGCATTGAGGGCCAAATGACAGTAGGGCCTGGCCCCATAGCCTCAAAGAGCAAACGGAGGGCGTGGCAAAGTGCACTGCAATTGCAAACGAGTGGATTTCAAGGCGGCCACTGATTGCACCCGGTACGTGACACGCCCATGGGCATTACAATAAGTATACGCCCGGTGTGTTTCAATTAGTTTGCGTTACGGCCAAATAAACACGTTAAAAGTGCGTGTAAACAAACAGGGAGGGGACGAAAATGCCAGGAGATAATGACGCCATGTCCGTGGGCAAACAATAAAAGCGTCGGCCAAATTAGGCGGCCATATCAGACGGACCTGACCACATTATTCGGCCGGCCAACAAACAAACCAACTGTCACTTGTCACTGCCGACCTCCTGGTTTTTATATTTTTATTTTCTTCCCCTGGGAGGTGAAGGGAAATCGGGCATCTGGTCAGATAATTTTCTTTCTTTGTTTTCCGGCAAATGTTTTCATTTTTTATCCGCTATTTTTCCGCCTATTTTATCACGTTTTGCGCCTTTTTATGTGTATTTTGTATCCCTTGTTTATTTTTTACGCACGTTCCTTGGGTTTTTGGCGAACTCAGACAGGTAGCAATATGCAAATCAAACAGAGGGGAAATGGCGTTGACAAACGTCGCAAAAAAAATATGAGAAAAGGAAGGCAGACTGAAGGGAATAGCAAATCCATCGGCATGGAATCCACGTGCATCCCAAGTGCCCCGGGGAAATTCGAGCAGCACAAGAACGAACTTCCCTAATGCAATCCGCCCTGAATTCCGGCTTATGACAGCTCGAATGTCGAACTACGTGTCGACTCGTTTCGCTCCTGGTGAAATTTAAATACGTCATCGTCCTGATCCGATTTAAATTTATTTCATTTGCATTTATTTGGCTGTTTCTTGCCTTTCTTCGAATTGATTCAAGGCTCTGCCTAATATTTGTATTCCATTTCGTATTGTTGTTTCATTTTATCTAAATGATTGGGTTAAGTGAAATAAGAGGGTTATATTTTTTGAAATTCAAATATGAGTTTGGATTTTGGTGTCAGTGGAATATTGGGTTATTAAATGAAACCTTCTCAGAGAGCAGTGCTTTAAAAGCATATTTACATCACGGATTGTTTATTCATACTTTAAGCCTTTTTATAACTAAAAAATCTTCACTTTATGTTCAACACGTTAGAAAATAGATAACAACACGAAGCGAAAGAAACTGAATATTATATTAATCAAATACTACCTTTAAACCCCTTCAAACCACCTAAATTAGAAGTCACTTTCACTAAGCCAACATATATTTATAAATTTTTCACCTAATTTCTTAGACCTTTGATTAAAAATAAATATATATATTTATAAAAGTTTGTTGATATCCTGTAAAGAGTAATTTTTTTCAAATAATTTGTTAAGCGCTAATTAAGCTTACATTGATTTTCCTTCCAAATTGAATTATGGCTTTTCACATACTGATCTGGCAATACTGATTGCCCAGTTCAATTATTGACACATTATCTGCCACTCAGCTCACGCACTATAGCCGCAACACAGACCACTGACCATTATTGACTTGAAATACTCAATGCAGGCAGTGGCAAAGACCGCATCGCGTATACGCCATGTGGCACAGAACGAAAAACGAACACAACTCGCAACTTGACATGCGCACGTCTTTTTAGCCGTGTGCTCTCGCCTCGACGTCTGTTGTAGAACTAAATGTCAGAATATTTTTCAGAGGCTGTGACTGTTAGCTGTTGGCGAAAGGAAAATACGCTCGACGGCAACAGCTGCTCTGTTAACTTTTTTGAGCGCTCTTCTGGCCATTCATTCATAACTGTTTTGAGTGGAATTTTGCGTTTGGCCTGATGTTTATTTCTCCTTTGAAGGGATACAGAGAAAACAAAAAGAGAGAAATGTTTGTTTTTAATGGATTATATTTAAATGAATTAACAACCTTATTAAGATGTTATTTTAGAACTTAGAACTTACTTATTAAAAGAATATTAATTGTTTTATTTAAGGGCATATTTAATGCAAAAATAATATTAGCTTATACTTAAAGAAGTTCATAAATTTCCAAACAATCATAATGCTTAACTTTTGTCTAGACTTTTATAAAATGTGGTTAATATTTTGCCAACGCTTTGACTACAAAAGTTTTTGGCTAATCAAGACAAGCACTTATATTGGCCACCATTCAAATAAGTTATGATCATAAAAGCCTTGGTTTAGGAATTGGAAAGCCGAAATATGCTATGCAAAACTGGAGATGGTAATGTAATTGATATTGTTATGTATTTTCTTTTTTTCGCTATGCCAGATTGTTTTGGCTAGCAGGACGGAAAATCAATTTGGCTAAGCCGAATGCGACGCTGGGGAGCAACTGAGTTAGCGTCATTCCCGCCACGTGCCTCGCAAATGTTAATGAGCCTGCGTGCCATAGCCTTTATTTTTATTATGCCCCACTACTGCCATTTCTATGAATACATGGCCTTACGCACTTACATATATATATATACGATTATATATGCAAAAAAGGGAAATGTTGACCTTTCCCTCGCTGTCAATGCTGCTGGCCAGAAAAGCATAACAAACAAATGCGCGTGAAATGTCAAAATCACTGTCTGCCAGGAGGCCAAAAGGAGAACGAAAGCCAGTGGAAAATGCGAAATGTGGGAAATGTGAAATGGGAAAAGGAAGTGGAAACTGGGAAAGAAAGATGACGACGCATAAGCGAAAAACAAGCAAAAAATGCTAAGGGCGAGGCAATCAAGAAAAATTTCTCCAGCAAATGGCATGGCAAATACAAACAGCAGCAACAACCACATCAAATTCAAGTGGTTGCAAGTGGTAAGGATTGAGGATTGAGGGGCAGGAGCACGAGCTGATGATGAGGTGCCCCATAAACACACACACATGCTACCCACCAGCGGTCTTAACAAGGCTCAAGTGAATTATAAAAAATAAATGCTTCAACGAATTCGAATCTTTGATACCCGATATGTGTCAGTTGTTACCACAAATTCAAAGCTGATGATGTCTCTATTTTAAAGAGGGATGGAGGACATTTTTTAAAGAGTGAAAACTTTTTAAACAAGTATAAATTATATGTAGGTAAATTATTTAATAAACTTATCAATATAACTTTCAAAATTGAAAGATAATCAGATTTGAAAAGTTTACAGCTTAACTTTAACTTTTCCCTTAAAAAGGCTACCATATAAATAAAGATTAAACCAACGAAACTGTGTAAATGCACTTTAAAAGTGAATAAAAAAGTTATTGATAGTAAGCTCACGCACAGCTTAAACTCGGGGTGTTCTTTGGCTGAAGTCGAGTCGAGTACTGGATATATTCTGTATTTTTTGAAACTGCATCTCCCGCAGTTCTTGGCCAACTGTTTGTGGGCTAGAACAGAATGTTCTACATGGTTTTCACCATTTTTTCTTATTTTTTTCCTTGTGAAAGCAATTGCCGTGGGGGCAAGTAAAACCGCTGGTAGCTTGTGTGCGGTTTTGTTTGGCCTTCGTTTTATCGTGTGGCCAACAGTCTGTGTGTGTGAGCTGACAATTTTGAGCATAACGCCAGGAAGCTAGATACCGAATGCTTGAGGCTTAGAGCAACAAACTCAGAATTAGCCGCAAGAATTGGCCCTCCTGCTGTGCCACATGTGGCAACAGAAATTGCAGCAACTTACAATGCAACATGTTCAGTGTCAATTTGTCATCACCCTGCACCACACAAAAAGTAAAAACTTTCTAGAGGAAAATAATGTTAACCTTTGCGGTTTGACTGCACGACTTTAGTTTCCCATTAAGACCAACTTTTTAATTAGTTAAAGTTTATCAGAAAATTTGCATGCACAAACTTTGGATGGCACAACACTGCGTATGTTTAACATTTTCCGTAGCTCTATTTGAAATGAAATCAATGAGATTTTCCATTCAAATGAAAAACAATGAGGTAAGAAGGACTTACTCGCATGAAATAACAATGAAAGCAAAGGCTTAGAAAATGGCTCAAAAGCTGTCAGAAGCAAATTATTTTTGCTACCGGAGTGCATCATTAAAAGGGGATCAATTACGCAAGACCGCCGCATAACAATGCAGCAGCGGTCGGAATCTTTCTGTTTTTAAACAAAGTCAAAGTTAGCCTTGGATTTTGTCCATAAGTCCCAATTAATTGCATTGCAATTCGGCAACTTAAAGCCCCTTTTAGTCTTCAAGTGCTTTGCATTTAGATGGGGGGTTATATTCGTCCTTAAATATATGGCATGCTACTGGCTAGATCCCAAAATGTAAATGCGATGCAGGCGACAAAAACACGCTCCACTGCGCTCCCCTCCACATTTTAGTTTCGGGGGTTTTATTTTATTTTATTTTTTTGCTTTTTGTTTTTGGTTCAGAACACTAATGAGCATTTAAGCTTGCGGCTTGGTCTGGTCTCATTTTAGTACATTTTTTTCTGCTTGCTACTGCTAGTTGCATTTGCATAAATTGAATATAAAGTTGCGCTTTTAATTTAATTGATTTGCATTTGAAATGAATTTCAAACAAGAACAGCATTAATTTTTGGTATAACACGGTTCCTTTTTATATCTTTAGTTTTTATTTGACAGCCAATTCCATTTTGGACAAAACAAATCCCCCTGTGTTTTTCTTTTGATTTTTTGATTAGTTTTTCATTGATTTATGGGCCATGTTTTATTGAATTCCTACTCTGGCCTCCCGCCATCTAAGAGCACACTTTAATCTGGCGAAATGTTTGTGCTCCCTTCGTTTTGGCCAATTTTCGTTTTTGTTCTTTCCTCCCATACTCTCGGCTTGTTTGTTTGTTTGTATCTCATTCTGGGCCATTTAATGCGTATACGCAATATCTGTAGGAATTTCTTGGTAGCCGCAAAAACGGAAGCGCTAAACCAAACATAAAAACAAACAGCTCGGCCAATCGTGTGTGTAAATGTTTATGCTCGTGTGTCGGCATAGTTTTATGTCTCAATTGAAGCGTTTGCCAGGCAAATAAAAATAATCAGCAAGTCAATATCCCGATGGTCAACGGAAGAAACGCTTAAATCTTCGCCATGTCTATTTTCGTGCACTTAATTATCGAGTTTGTCTTAGTTTTTTCTCCGTTTTGCCAGTTTCTGATGATGATGAAGTGGCTTGGTTTTTGTGGAATTAATCCTATGAATGATACATGATTGCTAAATAATGGAAAGGCGCTTAGTTAATTGTGCATCACACATGGTAACCGTTTGGGGGGAAATTGATTGCGACACGTGCAGAAATCGAATTATGCCGACAAAATTCACTCGATTATTCTTGTCTCTCAATTCATTGCCAACGAGCTAAATTGACAAATGCGTACGATGTACATATTTATTAAGGTATTAAACTGTTTTAATAAAAATATGTACATATCTATAAGCAAGTGTTTTAAGGTTTTAAATATAAATTTATTGCAAATTCTTTGTTCTTGGAATATTTTTGCCTTTTCAAATGGTCTTCTCCAAACTTTAATAAACCAATTTGATATGTTTTTGAAATAGGTTTTAACATTTTTTTTATAATTGGCATCTTATGGTCCCTTCTTTAGTGTTTTCACACAATATCAAATTGCAGATCAGACACCACATTTAGTATTTTCTTTATCCATGACGACGAGACATAACACTGCATTCAGACTGTTCAAAAAAAAATTTAACCAAAGTTTTTATATACTATAAATTAATTTTCGCTTACTTACATCTTTGCTACGTTAATATTTACATCGCTTTATTAATATATATATATATATTGGCTTGTTTTAATTGGACTGTAAGCAAAGATTCCATTTCTATTGTTCCACTTCCCTCGTCTCTTCATAAAAATTTTTTCTTCACCGATGTGGCAACGTCGCACTTAAAGCATGCCTTTTGCAAGTTTGGTTTTCTAATTGCCTATAATTATTTTCTTTTAAAGTTGTAAAAAACATAACTTATATGTGATAAATATTTTTTTATTAACTAAAAAATACTAAAAATCTTAATAATGGCCAAAGTGGTACAGCGATCCGTTTCTTTTGGAAGTAAAAGTAAGAAAGTTCCATTAAAAACTGGTTATAAAACATTTATCCTGACTTATAGGAACTCCAGATCCCATGGATAGGTATTTGGAGCTGCACTTCCTGTACCGAAAGCACATGATAAGGGACTCCTCATGCTTGTTTCGTGCGGTTGCCGAGCAGATTTACGATACCCAGATGCTCCACTATGAAGTTCGACAGGAATGTGTTCGCTATATGTTCCGGAAGAGAAGCAGTTTCCGGCCATATGTGCGTGGAGACTATGACAATTATTTGTACCTCCTTAAAAGGAGAAAAACAAAGGGCACCATGTTGGAGCTGCGTGCCCTGTGCCACCTTTACCGCCGGAATGCTATCATCTACAAACCATTCGAGCTGGGTAAATTTGTTGTCTACGACAAGGCTTATCCGGAGACCATACACATTTTTGTGAGTCATCAAGAGTACTTTGACTCCGTAATGACCATGTCGGAGATAGAAATGGCCGCAGTTTGCCAGGCTGTAGCCTATAAATTAGTCTACAAGAACCTCTTCCGGCTACCGGACGTTAATCTCGCAGTGGAATGGATGCTGTATCCACAGACTTTCAATTGTATCAACTTTGAGTTCGATCAGCAAGGCAATGTCATCTCTTTGGTTTGCTGTAATGGTCGGATCTTTCGACTGGATCGCCCTGAGCACACCGTTTGTCTTTTGGATAACTACGAACAATGTCCTTTCCATAACTCTAGGTTGAAGTTTGGCCAGCAGAACAAACAGTCTTCGCCTATGTCCTGCATGCGGCATATTCTCGAGCAAAATGGCACACCATTTCGTTATTCGGTTGCCAAAGCTTTGGATCCTTACAATTATCGTAACTTTGAGTTTATTAGCCAAATAGTGCGTCTTGAAGCACAATTGAGGAATATCTATCTGGGCGACTATAACTTCAAGGTGGGTGCCAAGTGCTTGGTGGATTTGCACAACAATAAAAAACAGCTCAGCACTTGCCACATCCAGGCCATTAATAATAATAAAACCTATTGCAAGGTGTTCGTCGAGCAACTGGGCAAACTTCTTGAGGTACCTTATGATAAACTTCACCCACTGCCGCCTGGTGAATTCAAGCCCTGGGATTGTTGCTCCAAGAACGGGGAGACACTGCGTCGGGACTTCCAAATGTGGCGTATGCAGATGCCAAATGTATCTATTCAGTCATGTAATAATGGAATTCAAAATGAGTGGGTAAATGTACCATTGACTCAACATGCACAAGGTAATCCGCTGCCTGCCCAACAGAAGATTGTAAATGTTCCACCGCAGCACACTATGCCACCACCGTTGGCCGTTCCACGTCCGTATTTCGTTCAGGCCTCGCAGACTTTTTTCGGCCGTCCTCCATTGATGCTAAATAACCAGCCAATGCCTCCAAGGCCATTTCCGCCGCATCACATGATAATTCGTCCGCCTACTCCAGCCACCTTTATCATCACAACCAGAGGACCAGCTCCGCCTAGCATGATGCCTCCTTCTTTTATCGTCCACAACTCTCCTTTGATGATCAATACTAATAATGGCAACCCGCCTCCTACATAGTTGCACTCCATTTTTAAAATATTTTTTTACCCATTTATAAATTTCAAAACTTATTCATTTTGAGATGTCAAAATATCTTATTGATTAAAGTTCTTCAATGATAATAAAAGTTGTTTTATTTTTGCGTTTCTATTTTAAGACTTATTTTAGTAATAAAATAGCAATAAATTTCAATCAATTCATTAAAATTTTAAATCCTATTTATAATTAGTACTCAATGTAATATTAAGAAAAGGAAGGAAAGTATTCAGTTTTTTGAAAAATTAATAACTATAAGAATCTATTTCATTTGCAAAAGATATTTACCAATTAGGTATTTATTTGGCATATTTTATTTATAATTAGAAAGATAATTTTAAAACGCTATTTACCTTAACATATAAGTTTTAAACTTCGAATGTAACTTAACTGACTAAATTGTAAATTGTTTTTCAGATTAATTAAGTTCGTCTCCGGATGTTACCTCCACGGCCAATCGCCCCTCTCCGGACAATCAACTCTGCAGATTCTTGTTGATATTATCAACCATATCGAAGGCATCTATTATCATCTGAGCTTCGCCCTGGGCCCTTTCGCTCATTTGCTCCAGACTTTTCCGCAGCTCCTTGTGCTCTCCAGTTGAATCTCGCTGCTCTGCTTTTTGGTACAAGCTGGTGCGTGAGAAAAGGGCGGTAGAAGTTCCGTGATCAGGTTGCTTCTCCAATTCATCGGGCAGGGGAAAGTCGATATCAAAAGAGAATCTTCGCAATTCTTCGTACTTGGATTCCTGAACCTCTTTGTCTTGGCCATAGCTAATAACCACCGCCTGAAGGACGATATCGCTGCCAGGAAGTTGCATATAGGCAATCACATCCTTGAAGAGATTTTCCTTGCGCCACACCGTTTGTTTGTACTGCACCACCTGGTAGACCACCATCTGCGGCTCGGGACTGTATTGCACGAGCATCCAGGTGTCATCGGTCATGGCCTCCGGTTCGGTTTCCAAATGATCTTCAAAGGCTTGGTCAAAGCTTCGGGCCTTTAGGTGCAATAGGATCTTCTCCATGTAATCATGCCTTTCGTAGGCATACAGTACATGGGCAATGCATCCGGGAGACAGGCGAACCAGAGGATTACCCTTCAACTCGGGCTTGGTGCTCATCCACATGACGTTATTCGGGGAGACTAGTTTCTGGACCAGACGTTCGCCTGCCTTCTCGTTTTCGGTGTATTGGACCAACAGTTGCTGACCACTGGTATCCTCGCGCTCCTCCTTGCTCATGGAAAGCAAAGCAGCATCCACCAGACGCCTCTCATCAGCAGCCAGGATAAGCTTCGCCTCTAGCACCATTCCATTGACTCGGAATTCGACAAAACGGGTCATGTATTTGTCTGATACATCCGATTCAAGCAGCTCCATGGAGTGGAGCACACACAGACGGGGCTGGCCATTTGGTTTTCCATTCTTCATCAAGCCATCATCTACTTCAGCCAGGAACCAGGACAAACGTGTGGCTGCCAAAGGGCCATTGGCATTGACGACGGCGACGCTGTTGGCAGAGTCATCCAATCCACTGTCGTTGCTGATGTTGCTCATGATGGCTGATATATTTTTTATAATAATTGTTTTTTTCGAAAATGTATGTTTGATTTTCGTTTATTTTTGTTTAAATGATTTTCTTGATGTCTTTATTGCTGCAATGCTCTTGATGAACTGTTGACTCCTCCTTCGTTGCAAGATATTTTATAGGTGTAAAAGGGTGTGTATAATTTAATTTACCTGCTTTTATGAAGCATGACATCTGCTGGGGAGGGATTATAATGGTGTTCAGATCAAGCTGGGATTATTCTGATTGTTTATTACCTGCGAAATTTACTGATTGCACGGATTTTCCCAATTCGCAGATGCTGAGTGGCAATAAATGCAAATTGCAACTATTGCAGTAATCGTTCAATTATGTAGTTTTACCTGCTTTGTGGCTGAAACGTGAATTTTACGTATTCGTTCGAAAAACCTATTTTAACAGAAACTTTTAGATAAAATAATCTCCAGTATTGGACTTCAATTAAATAAATCAAAAACTTATTAAGCGAAATATATTGAAATGTATTTTTCAAAAAGGTTTACAAAAATAGTGCATTAGAAAATTCTACCAACAGCTTGTTTAATAAATAAAAACATTTAGTTTTTACAAGCTTAGCGAGTTTGATGGAACTCATCAACTTTTTACTCGTCTTCTTGAACATCGTTATCCTGGCCAGAAACTATGCGAAGAAATAGGCTCGATGTCTGGCCCAGTTTGTTGCAATCCGTAACAGAAGATGGTTCATCACTGCTCATGTAAACTAAGTTCCCGGTGACTGCTCCTCGGCCAATACAAACCCTTTTTCTGGTCTTTTCACGATGATTGAAAGCCTCCAAACTATGATAGGGGGATTTCTTGGCCAATTTGAGAGCGTTGGTCAGGGAAAAGAATCGACCCGCTTGACCAGCAGGAACTCCCAGCACACGAGTGGAGAACTCGATGGCCCTGGCTTTTTCAACATCTTTATCTGGCATAAACTCACCTCCACGTTCTCGTGGACAAAGCGCGTCGAGATTTGTACCCAATGGGCAATCCCTCGGATCGTGCTCTCTGTGTCGGTCCAGTTCACAAAATGTATGAATATCCTCGAACAATCCAAGGGCGATGGCTTCATTGATCGCAGTGCCATTGGCTAGTACGCAACCAAGGACATTTCCCAGTCGCCATCTCACGAACGTTGATATGGTAGACATTACCACGTTGCCGGAGTATGGTGAGCACTACGTCATCGAAGGGCCTGGGCCCAATTAGATGGAATAGCTCACTCGATAGAGAATCCAGCACGGGCAGACTGCCATTGCCACAGAATTGGCATTGATTCTCCGACTTGGTGTTCCTTACAGACATACTGGAGCTACCAATCTCGCTTACTGTAGATGTGCTGCCAGATTCACATTGTTTCTTATCTCGCTTTTTTAAATCTAAGCTCATATCGGATATCTTAAGATCCGATTGGGTTGAAGTGGATTTAAAATTGCGCATCTGGGCATCTGAGCAGTTGCAGTTTGGCTGCGTTTGTTCATCTCCAAAAACCGTTTCCTTCTCTGATATGGTCACCTTTTTGGAACGTTCCTCCTCCTTAACATCACTTGCTTCCAGGCACTTGGGTTTTGCAAATAACTTTACTAGTTCTGCCAATAATCTATCAAATGAATAAGGTTCGGGTTCCTCTTTATGAGCTTGTTTATTTTCACAAGTCTTTGATTTTGTAAACAGATTAATGAACTGCTCGATCAAGGTCTTGTAGACTTCATTTTCCACAGTTTCACATGATTGCGATTGTTTCAAACATTTTTTTGTCTCCAAACAAGATGTAGAAGAAACCTTTCTTGTATCTAAACATTCGGCATTGGGATCGGTTACCCATTCAACCACTTTAACGCAACAAGGGGTAACGTCTTGGTTCTTCAAGTTTTGCATTGAAGGATTTGAACAGCAAGAAGATTGGGTCGTATGCTTTTGATTTGATTCTGGAATCTTGGAAGATTTCCCACAAACCGTTTCTTCACTGTTAGATTTTGCAAAAACTCGATTGAATTGTTGCAGAAAATTATCTGTGTCTTCTGAGCACGGCGAAATCGTAACCGAATTTCGGTTGATTTTCATACAGCTCTCTTTTTTATCAGTCTTGCAAAAGGACAATTGGCTAATTTTTCCCTCATCATTCCTACCACACTTTGTGGCAATTGGTTTTGGGTTCTTACTTGGAGAACTTACTCCGCATTCGATACTATTTGATTTCTTAGCCTGATTCGCTTCAGGCTTTATAAATATTTGTATAAATTCTTTGGATAAAGTTCTACATTCGCAATCATCTTCTTTACTCTGAGATGCCTCATCAGAGGTTGCAGGTTTTCTTGGCAATTCGCAATGCTTTGGTTGACCTTCAAATAATGCCCTACAATCAGAGGGCTTACATTTCTGGGCTTTCCATGACCTTAAAGAACCTTGAAGATCTTTCAAAGACCGCTCCTGTCTCTCCAACTTTGTTTCCAATTCCTGTACCTTATCGAGAATTTTTGAGCAGGAAGATTGTCCCGAAGGCAATATTTCTTCTTTAGCTGATATTGGGTTTTCATATTGAGTTTCCTTATCTTTTTTATGAGATGTAACTAAATGGGACGGGTGTGATTGTTCTCTTTCAGATTGAAAAACTGTCATTGTTAGATCAGGGGACAGGATAGAGCCCCCTTGTACCACGATTAATGGACGCTTAAAGAAACATTTTCGCAACGAAGAACTCGATTTCGAAGCATTTTCATCATCGTCTCTAGGCTTATCTTTCTTTGGTGTTTTCGATATGAGGACCCCTCTTTTAGGTTCCTGGCTGCCAATATCCGTTTGAGTTGCGGTAGTGCTTAAGTTTTTTGAAGAACCTAAGATCGATTGCGTCTCTGCATCTCGCATATCTAGTACAGATTGGGCTGATGCATCTTGACTAAACCTACAATCCATTATGTCTGCATTGGGATCCACTTGGATTTCGTCTTGGGTTCCTGTTTGAGTAGCCATGCTCTTAGTACAAACGGTTTGGGTTGATTCCGAGATGATTGTCAAAGGAAGATTTTTGCTTCCTGGGGGAGCGAGCGTCCCGAAATGGAACGACAGCTGCAAGCTCCGCCCGCAGGTAGACGGCGAATATCCGAACCGCTGGACACTAAAACAGCGGACAAAGCATCTGCAAATGTAAGGGTAAAATAAGGATTTAGAAGTACGTTCCAAAAACTACCTGTAAGTGTTTCCGCGGTGCTATATAAGACCTGGACTTATTAGTTGCAATTCAGTTTACAATTGGACAACAAGCTAAACTATGGTGAGTTAGAGCGAAGAATACAAAAATACTTTTAGAAAACATTTGTTTTTGGTGGCTATCTGTTAAATATATGTTATGGCACACGACAATTGAATAGATCTTTTATGTTTTATGTTTAAACTATTCCGATCTTGAATAAAAATATGTTGAGACGATTCTCGCAAAGATATATATAATATTTATATAATTATAAATTGGATTCTCCAATCCTCCTTCCATCTAGATTTCTCGTCGCCAGCGTTTAGAATTCGCTCTGACCCTTTTGCCTTATGATCCGGAGACTGTTCAGCTCTCCGAGAAGCAGAAAAAGGTGGAGGAAATCATTGCCCGACTGCGAACAGATGACTCATTTACAGAGGAGGAGAGTGAAGATGGAAAGATGCGACGTATCCAAGAAGCCAACGAATTTGCCGATTGCGCCATGCGTCACATCGAAATGACAGACAATGGCAAGCTAAGCACTCTGGAAACTCTAACTTTGGCTGCTGAGAAACTGCTAAAATCACAAGGATCACCGCGAGATGAGGATGAGCCAGATCAGGATATTACTGACATTGTGCGAAGTGTGGAAAAATCGCAGCTAATGCGGAACACCATTAAAGCGGTAAATGAGGCGCGGCTTAAGCTTCTCCAGCAATGGGAACGTAGCAAGCGTAAGGCTCTGGATCTTCTGACCATCGAGATCGAGAAGGTGCAAGAAATGGACCAGGAGCAAGAGGAAGAGCCAGAACAGGAGCAGGAAGCAAGAGCAGAGTTCGGAGCCCTTTGATGCCTTCCGCGACGGCGCCGATGACCACAACACGTCCACGCCGAAAACCAACGACGAGGACCTTTGTTTGGATGATGATGATGAAGATTATGTTCCAGGTGAGGAAGAACCAGCGGTAAACAAGAGGAAGCGCATTAAGAAGCCGGTAACTTCCACGCCGCATGCCAAGCGCCGGTGTCCGGGTTTCGAATTTGATCAAGACAGCGAGTCCCCAATGGTGATGATCGGTCCCAATGGCACCGAAGTGTCCCGCGTTAGTCTGAGTGCCATTAACTGGGACATGACCGGACCCTCTATTACCAGAAAGCTGCTCTGCGAGATCTTCGACCGGGATACTCTGGCTCACCATACACTCTCTGGAAAACCATCGCCAGCCTTCAGGGACTGCGCCCGTCCCAGCAAACAGCAACTGGATCCTCTCAAGGTGGCCGATCTGGTCTATCTGATGACCAACAGCCTAGACATGACTCCCCGTGAAGTACGAACCGCAATCACCACGAAATGTGCCGATGAAAACAAGATGCTCCGGTCGCGAATGCAGCGCAAGTCGAAGTAGATAATTCTTTTGGAATCTGATAAATATTCAATGTATATTGCAGTGAGACTCCTTTTCATAATCCTATAATAATTCCTAGAGCATTTCTTCCCGATTTTATAATGAACTAAGTCCCGGCCCAGCCGAAAACAAGGAGAGCACAAAGTAAATAAAGTTGCCCATTTTCTTACCCACAACTTGATTGGACTTCGTATGGTTGCGCGTGAGGGAATCATCGCTTCGCGACTTCTTGGGGAAATCCTTAAATCTGGAAACTCTTTTCAGATTACACAATAGAAATTAAATAGACTATGTTGCAATTCTTACCTTTCCAATATTAAAGTTAGGTTTTTATAGAGCAGCTTATGCTTTAGTTTCTCTGCAGCCCAACTCAGGCCGTCGCCTTTTAAGTTCGTTGCATTCATTTTGTGTTAAATTTAACAGATAATTTTGGGCACTTGAAAAATAAAATAAATTTGAGTGTCTAAAAAGTTAGTTTTCAAGGTGCTAAGTTAATTGAATATCAATTATTTTTGAATCTGTGTGGTAACACTGGTACGGACTGGTAACACTGTCGCGTTAGCCCCAAAAGGAGTTATAATTTTTATAAATAAAACCAAACACATAACCTTCAAAATCGTAAGCTTTACCAACGAATACTTTTGGTAAAGGCTTGTATGAAAATATAAAACAATATATAAACAATATAAAATAAAAAATATATCGTTAAAAGCATCGATAGGTTTGAGTAAAAGTAATCGTAGAGATGTCGAATCTACGATTAATTATCTGTCACATTGACAACTCTGGCTTGTCTGAGCTTTAAGTGGATGTGAGTGTTACCTATAAATATATGAAATAATTGTAAATGGAGCCTAAAAGTACAGGTTTCAAGTTTGCATTTTCATAAAAGAAAACCGAAAAAACGTGTCTTTACTTTGACGGCAGCGAGGGAAAACCTATGTGATGACCAGGAGTCAGGACAATCTAAGGGCCGCATTGGAGGAGAGCAAGAAGTTGCTCGAGGAATCCAAAACCACATCGGAGGAAATTAATCGGGTGCTCCAGTTAACCAAGCGACAGAATGAGGAACTGACTATAGAGCGGGATGCACTTCTACAGCAGCTACAAAACGAGGTGTCCAAGAACGAGGCTCTCCAACAACAAGTCTTGGAGCAGGATAAATCTAAGAATACTATCATTGAGAGCATCAAGCAGGAGTTTGAAGTCCATGAAACGAATTTTAAAGCCAGGATCGAAGAAATTATCGCCGAGCGGGACACTTTTGAGAAAAAAATGTTGGAGACCGTGGAAGAGTTAAACAAGACCCTAAATCTTAATAGTTGCATAATTTGCTACTCTCCTTATGAGTTGGAGGGCTCTCACCGCATGGTGTCCTTAAAGTGCGGTCATGTGTTTGGTGACAGCTGCCTGCGCGAGTATTTGAGCCACAGGCCCGACTGCGCCATATGCAAACAGCTAGTGGAGAATCATGATCTGCGCTACATCTTCGGCTGTCACACCACAGGAGTTTAAGGTATGGTCTGATCTGGTTCCCAGACACAATGCATTATTTATTTGCCCTATCAACTAGTCAATACAGCTGAAGTTCACACATGCACCCAAGACGATGAAATTGATGTGTAATTTCTGCAGCTCAAGAAATTCGTGTCGGAAAATAAATGGAATAATCAATTTTCGGTTGTCCTTCTGACCAAATGTTTTCACCATTTTCTGTTCTCTTTTATTATTTATTTATTATTTATTTTTTTTTTTTCATCTGATGTACCACATTCTGATATGCAAATACTTTGAGAAAAGGCACACTGATTTAAATATATTTATGTGTGATGCCAGCCAGCGTGTCGATGTAAACATTTCATATACACACTCAGACAAACATACATATTTAGTTCTAGTATACAGAGGTAAAGTTTTTGCCAGCCCCTTCCTTCGAACCACAAACCACAAAGACAGGGGCTCAAGTAAACTCTGTTTTTCGAATTTGCGGCTGGGAAATTGTATAAAAATGTGATTCCCAAACGAAGGAAGGGACTAGGAATAGACGACCCAAAAAGTATAATAAATAAACTCGGTAGCAATTCCTTGGAGCGTTCATCAAAGCAAAATTGATATCAATCATACGCACACAACCACCCTCACAATCGTATCTGCACGTCTATGTGGTGGCAAATTGAAACATTATATAAAATATCAGCCCGGCCAGAGCCCACAAACTACCCACTCGGCAAATTGCCCTTAAAAATAAAACACCATCAAGACTGAGCATCAAAAAAAAAATGTTGTATTAAATTTAAAGGAATTTCCACAAGTTATTTTGCTGATGTTCGTTTGGCGTTCAACAACTCAAAGAGGGAGGAAAACGTTCAATGGATTTTTCACTGTGCGGCTTCAAACTTTAAAGGTGAAAAAAACAAAACAAAAGGCAGGAAAATGAAAACAAAGACGCCGCGGCCAGGCGTGACATTGCTGGAAATGTATGCGGCGGAAAATGAAGTCATTATTCCAAGGTAAGACCAAGTCGAAAAGTGTCCCGCAGCCCGAACCAAAAATCAAAGTCACACTCCACAGATCCCGCAGCCTTGGCGCCGTCGTTTACCCTTTCGGAAAACCCTAGTTTTTTTCCGGGCTTTCCGCTTTCCTCAACGTGTCAACGGCAGTCGTGCTTCTCCATCTCCGTGCCAGAGCCACGCATCGCATCCTTTGGATGTCCTCTTCCTCTGGCAATGACTCCACCCAACCGCTGTGTCGCACAATAAAAGAAGCAATAAGAAACACAAGTAACGATGATGCCAAAAGTCCGGATAGAGAATTCAATATCCTGTAAGTAGCTGGAAGCTGGTAAGTCTACATACATTTTCTTTGCAATTATTATAAGATTTATTTAAAGTTCTTTTAACCAGTTAGTTGGTAATGAATTATATTTTAGAAGAAAACTTGTTGACCTTAATTTCGGAATACCCTAATAGTACAGGGTATGGGCAAAGGTCACAGGCTGTACTCCCCTGGGACCACCAACCGCCATCTGCCCTTCGATTTGGCACAAGCCAGCCAAGCTGACAATGACATTTACACTTCAGCTGCTGCTTTGCTTAAAATTCTTGCAGATGATGAATGAGCGAGCTGTTGTGCTCGGTTAAGTCAAAGTTTTTCAGCATTTAGCTCATTAAGCATACAATAGTTATCATCGTCATTGGCTTGTCAAAACAGAAAGCGAGCGTTGTTTAGGGTAATCAAGACTCTTTATAAACTGTAGCGGAAATTATACAAAATGAGAAACTCTAACGAGTCTAATTTTAACTAATACTTTCTGCACTTAGAACAGCTAAAGATTTGGGTATTCTACCACAAAAGGTCAATTAGGTGGTTCTTTATTTTGAAGAGAAGCCGCCAAATGAAAATTTTAATAATGCAAATGCTTTGTTGTACAGGTTCTGGTCTTGTGGCTTGTTGCATGCACCTAGTAACTGCAGCAAATTCACTGAAAAAAAATGATACTCACAAAAAAACTGATTATCAAAATTGTATTTAAGTTATATGAGTTTTAGTCGTAGAAATTGCTTTTTTTTTAGTTTAATAATGTTTAATTGATAAACAAAAATTTTATATCAAATTTAAGAATTGTAAATAATTGTAAAGATTTTTTGTTTTCAGTGTACCTCCTCCTTCACTGCCTTTGGCAATGTGCCATCATCGGCTTGTCGTTTTCAGTTATTTTAGCGTCGACGGTGCCTGCTCCTTCACACAACAATGCCCCCAAAAACCAACCGACAACGAGCGCCGAGTTAATTGAATTGTGTTTACTCTATGGGGCCAGGACATAGCCATCCTCGTCAGTTTGGGCACCGTGTTATTTTGGGACTCCTTTTTGCTCCGTGCTCAGCCGTAGAGGACTGCGCCGGAAAGTCATTCCGGACGACTTGCAAGCCAGCGAGTCAACTTTTCCATTTGAATCCGTCGCTGAGCTGGCTGTTAGGTGAAATATTTGAGACATGTGTTTCAGTTTCGATCTGGAAAGTAAGCCAAGTCCAAACAGTATAAACTCGATTTACAAATTTCCGTCCAAAGGCTCATTAAAAGTTTGCCTAGTTCCTGCTTATAAAACAAATAAGATGATGAATTCAGTTTATGCAGCGGAAGTTTGTGATTGATGGGTTTGTATTTACAAAATAGCTTGAATAGAAATTTTTTTTTTATATAAAGCAAGCAGCATTTGGGCTCCAAAATAGTATCTTTAATTTCTTAGCTTGAATCCGTTTATATCTAAAAATATGAATTATAAATTGAAAATCCCAAAATTGAACTGCATAAACCTTGTAAATCCTGTCAAAGTTTTGAGTAGAGTCTCTGAATAATAAATAATCCAAGTCGCAAGTTTCGACAAAAGCGCAAAGTTAGCCAGCTAATTGTAATGATAATTAGCGTAATTAGTGGGCAGGTAAGCTGTTGTCCGCCCAAAATCTGATCAGCTGCCCAGACAAAAGACAAACTAATCGCCATCGGTTGGTGGCAAATTCCCTTCCTCAACATTAAAATAATGCTGGTTTCAATTACGAACATTTTATGATGTTTATGGCCACGAATGTAACGCGTTCTTAGTTCGCTAATGCGTCAAGTGGCCGCAGGACATCTCCCCGCCAGGGCAAAGTAATTTTGAGTTTGTGCGAAATGCAAAAGTTTTGGCAAGTGCGCATTGCGCCGATAAAAAGTTTCGATTATAATAGAAATTTGTGAAAATGCCTGCAACACGGGAAATGAGAAATGGTTGGTTTTTGGGGCATGCTACATTTCATTTCAAAAGCCACTGGGAATTGTTGGAAATTGTTATTTAACAAAGCAAAAGATGCTGGTTTAAAACAAAAAAAATCATTTGAAAGTCCTTCCAAACAAATTTAGATTTAATCGGAGGGAATATGCTGGCAGGACATATAAACACCATTTGCATTGCTTTATAATACATTTTAGGATTTTATTACAAGAAACATGAAAAAGTTCTGCCCATGTTTAATACGCCTCGTGGCCGCTAACAGAGCATAACAAACACAGCTGTTTCATTTCGCTCAATTTCTGCTGTTATTAACAGAGGCAAGTTAACATCACTCAAGGATACCGCTGATAGTCGTTCATGACTGAAATGTCTTTACTGTCTTTTACTTCTCATATATGACAAACAAACGCAAGCGCTTTATATTGCCGCTGCATTGTTTGAACACAAAGTTCATTTGCTGCTCCTGGCTTTGTCTGCAAATGGAACGTGTTCATTAAGTTAACTACGCTTTTACCCACAGCAAAGGAACAATAAAAAATAGTTCGGAATACTTTGTGGACCTTTGATTTATGGCAATACAATTGCGTTGAGCCACCGACAAGGGAATGTCGACAATTTTCCCGCTTCTGTAAATTAAAGCTCAATGGCAATTGGATTGCTGAGGAGCCAAAGGAGATGATGGGATTCTTTCAGGGGGGACAGTATCTCGCCCACATACATATATGGAAACCCATTAACGACAGCGCTACTCAACATAATGACAAAACTTTTACACGTGCAGCGGACAAAGTTTGGGCAATCATTTTAATTTTTACGATCTTCTGATGGCGGCACAAAAACTAAACCAAGCCATAGTCTTTTATAGGGGAAAATAACTTTCATAAGGGTTATCAATTCGATTTCATAAGTGCAAGTCAGCTTAAATTACTGAAATAATTAATAAGACTTAAAACCTTTAATTCAATTTGCTTTGTTCCTTTTTTAATTTCAAACAAACAAATGTCTTGTACAAAATTCTTCCAAAACGAAGTTAAAATGTTCTTTGTTTTTCTCTCTGTACATTTCTGAGATGCTCCTTCCATTGCAGATCCTTTTGTTTCCTTCCTTTTCCCGCTGATTGTCCTTGTGTGTGTGTAAATAACATTTAGAGACTTACTTTTAATGCCGCCCTGACAGGTTTATTGCTCTCTGCATGTGTCTGTGCGAGAGTGTGTTCAATAGCTTGGGACACCGCATGATTATGCGAAAATTACGCATACGCCGCATATGCCACGTGCGATTGCTCACATTTGAAGTGCTAAGACCACCTTTGGTAGCTGTGGGAGATTCTGCGAAAATTGAGCGCGACTTTATCAATATTTTTTTACATGTTTTCATGCATTATTAATGCATTTAATTTGTCTGAAAAGGAGAAACATTCAAAAATGGGCGACTAACGAGCACAGTGGGAGAGATCAGGAAAATTTAGGGAATACAAAAATATTTAAAATATATTTATGTTTAGATTTAAACATTTGGATTAGGATTATTCAGACTTAATCTTTCTCATTTGTCTTTATATTCAAATCATTTCTCTAATATCTAACACAAAGGTTAAATATGTATCCCATAGTTCCGGCGAAATGAAAATGTTTACGAGGTATCCAGGACAAGATGTCCTTTGAGGAATACACAATCATAAAAAACACATCAGAAACCAATTTTTATGAATACTTGCCTAAATGAAAATCAATAAAATGCGCACAATTCGTGTATGTTTTCAAATATTAAACTGACACATGAAAGACAACATCTCCAAATCTCTCAAAAAAGCAGAGAAGGGAAGGCATTGGGAAAACAGGACGGAAGCGGCATTTAAACACTTTCCGTACCCAAAAGCAGGCGTTGTTAAATGAAGCGCAAAATGGGCGCAACAATAAGTCCAAATGTGTCTTCGAATTGTTTGGCAATGTAATCAATAAGGGGCGACCTGACATATTTGAATATCGATAAAAGGCAGAAAGCTCAAAGGCCCAGGGGTATACATGCTCCTATATAGAGTGGGCTGTAACAA